TCTTGTGTCTAAAATATTGACCTTTCTGCCCTAAGACAAAGGTAAGTACTGACAAACATCTGAATATGAAACTGTTTTGCGAAAAACAAATATTTTCTTTCGATTAGTAACAATTTACACTGATTAAATCTATTGTTCTTGATTCCAATCATTCTTCTCCCCCCACCTTTCCCCGTCAACAACTAACACCTATTAGAACCTAGGAATGACTTGACACAATTAAATCTAGGTGTACAATACATCAATAAGCAAACATAGGTACAAGTACATTTCTTAATTATTTTTTTCTTAGTTTTATCGAGAAAACACAATTAATGGTAAACATAAAATTGAACCTATTTTCCTGATTTAAGCCGTTTTCTTTGCTGAATTTCATCTTATCTTTTTGCATTTATATATCAGAATATTATCGAGGTATTTTTTTCACAACTGAAATTCCTATGAATTATCAACCAAAGGAAGAGAATTCTAATATTAACAAACTCTATGAAACAAATAAAACTGTATATGAATGATGTATAAATTTTCTTTTTGTAAATTGTGTATCACAGTTGCAAAAGTCAACAGGTAAAAAAAAAAAACGTCGCTATTGTGACGACATATAACGCTGCTTTGACGTAGAACGACATAGGTCCCCCCTTAAGGGGATGAAGGATGTATGGTCACGTGACTCAGTTGATTTACGTCATAATCTCTGATAAAATATGTTCAAAACGAGATTGAAACTACAGTACTTGTATATTTTTTTGACTGTTTGTTTGCGTTCACCATCTAGTATAAAAATATCTGAAAACATTCAAAATTTCTTGCAAATATTATCAAATTACGGAATAGATTAATCCACTCTGCCGTTTCCCTACTCTGAGTCTTTGACGTCATTGGATCTCTTAGTTCAGTAATCATACAGTATAAAATCATTTCATAATATGTACATGGTAGGGTATTTTGTAAATTTCAGAACGCAAAAAATATTTTTACATGGTTATTGACGGAAAAGTTCTGTGGGTTTGTCTTATTTCGATTATTTCAGGAATGTGTGACGTCATAGTTGGGTTTTCCCGTACTCGAGAAATGTAAACATGACGCGTTTTTCTCATGCTCATATATTGCTTAACTATGCCCTATGTAATAGTGAGCTCAGCTTCACCAATCGATATTTTTACAGTTAATCAATACAATGACGACCTTGAACTTCGACGTAAAATTTCAAATATTGAATGATAGGATTTTTTGCAAATTAATTTTTTTTATGGTTTAAGTTGTCCTAAAAAATTCGTAAATTTCCGTCTACAGATGTGGTGTTACAAAAGAATCTTGCTTTTTCGAATTTTTAACCCTATTCATACTATGCAATATTTTAAAAGACACATTTCCGCTGGTATATTTTTTATCTATGGTGAAAAATTTCAAATGACCGAGTAATGGACCCAGAAACACGGAGAATAAAAACTCCATCAGACATAATTTGTTCAATATCTCAGAAATAAGTCTAGAAACCTATTGATATGTGCTTTATAACGTAGGACATACTTAAGATATATACAAAATATGAAAAAAATTAAATGACAGGTATTTTTTCAGCTAAAGGTCCTTCATCCCCTTAATTAAAATGATGACATAGTGTCGGATCGTCATAAGTTTTGGCATATTATTTTCTCAAATAGTAAAAACTTTCATTTGAGCCCTATTGAATGATATCAGTTTCATAGAAATAGTTCGAGATTTAGCGAAGTTATCAAAATGTTAAAGTGTTACCTTTCTTTTCGGACACGAGCAGGTGATACATCATAATTTAGCAACTGTAAGGATTGAAACATGTTAACATGAAATTCAATAATTTGAAGAAACTTAGGCAGATGTAAACTTGGATTTAAACAGTGCTTTAAAAATAACTGACAGCTTTAAACTCTGTCAGGATGGTAAAGTATATCTTTTAAGAGGCTAGAGAGTGTTGTTTATCACCCTTGGTGATGGGAAGGAAAATAGAGTCTTATCGCGCTTTTTATAATTTATTCTTTAATAGTGTGACATAATTACAATTTAATATTAATTCAAAGCGTGCATGAAAGATTTTCACTTTTATCTTAAAGATGTCTAAAATTATAATGCATTTGAAAAATTCACGGTAAGAAACTCAATTTTTCAACAAAAAAAATAATAATACTTTGAAATAATAGCTAGGGAATAAGTGTATCGATTTTAAATTTACGTTCATACCAATCCTTTGCCCCCGCCAATACACGATAATGTATTTACAAGATAAATACAACTAACGTAGGTGTTATGATGAAATCGTAATCGTGATATTTTTTAGTGTGAAGGCCATTTCTTAAATTTATTTTTAAATTGTGATTTCTCTGATATCACGTTTTTTTTTAAAAAACAGATATGTGTTTATCTTTATAAACCTTTAAACGGTATATTTAATTTGTGAAAAGGCGGGCGCTTGCTCCATGTGTGTTCGAATCACAGTTGCGACTGATCTCAGGGCCGGTACACAAGGTAAGGATTGCCTTGTAAGTCTTCAACCTTACGTTTTGCAGGACGCACGGCTCTCATGTCAGCACGCTAAGGGAAGACGTACAAGAATATAAACAATATTTCCTTAATTTCCTCGTGTTTTCCAGCCATAAACAGTGCATTTAGTCATTCAACAAAAGAATAGAGTACTGGTCAGACCTTTGTATTTATTTTACCGACAAGTGCATTTGCACTTCTTAAAAAGAGTAGGCGGTTGATCAGAAGCATTTGTGGATTTTTTTATTATCTATTTTCGAAAATACAATATATTCCCTTCAATCTACTAATGTGTGTTGTTTAATTAAAAAAAGATTGACATTTGGGCGAATGGTTTTAATTGGTGGAAAAGAAAATGTCAGCTAAGTCTTCTGTTAAGAAATAGACCAGTGCTCTGTTCGTAGGTTAGCCTTGTAAGGCTGAAATGTGTATTACGTGTATTACGGATGTACAACCAGCAAGACTTGATCTTAAGATCCATGACTTATAAGACAGGCCTTACCATGCGTACCGACCCTCAGTCGATGTAATTAGGTAGCAACTGTTTCTTCTCCAAACGCTCAGCATTTTGAAGTGAACGTTTTGGGTTTTTCGGATGAAACCATAAAAACTGAGGTCCTTGCTACGGTAGGCGTTGGCACGATAAAAAACACCAACTGCTCAAAGGCCACAAGTCCGGGTAAAGGTCTAAATGTGAAGCCCTTCACTGGTATATGGTCAAGTCTCTATTTGAGTGAAATATTCTCGAACGGGACGTAAAGCAACATTCTTTCAATCAATTTATGAAAAGAGAAAAGCTGTCTTCTTTGATACACCCCTTTTCCAGCTTTTGAAATGTGTCCAAAATCTTAAAAATTACACAAATCCAATTTCAGAGCCTCCAGTGTGTTTGAGTAATAAGTTCAGTTAATTAAAAAGGTAACACTTTTTTTCATCAAACCCTTTCGTTGGAAAAATAACGAAATAATTTTTTTTTTTTTAGGAAACTAACCAAATCTTAAACAGTGCAATTGGTTCACAATTTTTAAACATGTAATGCAACTTCTTTTACAATCGTTATGTACTTATGAACAATTACAATGTATTGCTGTTTGGGGGTCAATAATTAGGACGCTTCCCGAAAAGTATGATGTCGACCCGCCCGAAGAACGACGTGAATACTATTTAACGTCAAAGATTGCTAAACCATGGTTCAGTTTTTTAATGACAAAAGCAATGAAATTGTTTATTATATGACTCAATATGCTTAATTGATACAACTTGTAAGGAAACTTTGCCATCTTTCTTGATTTTTTACACTCTTTTTGGAGGTCTAACATTATGGCAAGTCAGACGTTGCAATATTTGATCTTTTCCATTTGTATTGTAAAATTTTCCATTTGTATTGTATAATTCTTATTTGTATTGTATAATTTTCCATTTGTATTCTATAATTTTCCATTTGTATTGTATATATATTGGACATATATCGACGAAGAGCTTTAAATTTGGACATGTACTCGGCAAAAAGGGTCATTGAGTAGTGAGAGGTAGACAAAAATATACTCGGCAAACAGGGTCATTGAGTGGCGAGGGTTAGACAAACACTCGACAAACAGGCCCAATGAGTATAGTCGAGTTAGACATATACTCGGCAAACAGGGCCATTGAGTAGTAAGGGTTAGACATATACTCGACAAACAGGGCTATTGCGTAATGAGAGTTAGAGACATTTACTCGGTAATCATGGCCTTAGGACCAGTGGGGGTCAGACATATACTCGGCAAACAGGGCAGTGAGAGTTAGACATTTACTCGGTAAACAGGGCAGTGAGGGTTAGACATTTCCTCGGTAAACAGGGTCATTGAGTGGTGAAGGTTAGACATATACTCGACAAATAGGGCCATTGAGTAGTTAGGTTTGACATGTACTCGGCAAACAGGGCCTTTGAGTAAACAGGTTAGACATATACTCGACAAACAGGGCAATTGAGTAGTGAGGGTTAGACATATACTCGGCAAACAGTCCCATTGAGTAGTGAGGGTTAGACATATACATGTACTCGGCAAACAGTGCTACATGTATTGGGTAGTGAAGGTTAGACTATTGTTCTCGGCAAACAGAGCCATTGAGCATTGAAGGTTCTTTTTTGTGCCAGAATCCACTGTGAAGTCTCATCCGAAAAATCTATGACCTTTACTTTCAATGCCGTGCGCTTGGCAACAGAATAGTCCTTAGACTCACTACTTATATTAACGTCTTAGTTTTGACGTTGTGCTTCAACCTAGAATCGAACCAAGACTTTTCATTCACGGAGCGAACGTTCTACTACTAGACTAATTTTTCCGATGCTATGACAACAGAAAACGACCAAGAAACTTGACAAGGATTACTCCATGAGTTTGGATAAAAAAATCCTAGAATCAAATATATTTTGTTCAATATGTAATTTTCTTCAATACGGTTTCTTTAAAAAAAAACTTTTCTTTACAACAAATAAAACAATTTTTAATACTTAGCACCTATAGATAAATGAGCATATGTTTAACATTTAAGTCCTACAGGGTATCCATAACCCTGTGCAAAATCAAATCCGTATGTTATTAAACCAAAGGGATTCCCAGACACGCTCTTTATCTCATGTAGACCCGGTATGTCCATCTCCATTGTTATTACGGAATAAACTTTATCCTTTAGATGTACGGTCTGCAGGTTGGAATTATAGGTATCGTATTTTCTTCCGTCAATAAGAATATTATCAACGTCCTTAGATTCAGTCATGATGGAAATATAAGATCTGTACTGAGTTTGAAGATTTCGTTTTGGTGGGTCAGGAACGATAACAGCGTACTCAGATTTAAATTGTTCAACAGAGGGAGTTATAATCATTGCTCCACTGGCAGTATCGAAATGCGACTGCATTGTCTTCGGAACTTGAACAACTAAAATGGGTTTGTCACTTGAAACATTAACAGACCTTCCATGAAAGGATTCAAACACCTGAAAGGCTCCCTCTTTTGGAAGCGTTATGTACTTGTTATCCACTGCCACGTGCGTATTTGGAGAGGAAGCAATTATCTTGTAATAAAAACTATGCCTGTCCTGTAATTTTGGAATTATAAAATTTTGTCCGAGAAATTTCACCGGTGGTATCATCTGAGTAAGAGTTTGGGCGTCAAAGATCTTGGACGAATCTGAAGGTTTTGGAACCACTGTGGCCGTGTTACCAGACAGAACAGAAACTGGTTCTGAGCTTTGAACAACGGTTCCAGTAAAATCTGTGACACTCGCTAGTTGAAACGTCTGATACTGATCTAAGGTCACGTTAATTGTATCTCCGTTACCATAACCTTTACCGTTGTAATCTATTGTATCGTTTTCGCTGATTGAAAGAGTAAATGAAATTTCTGTGTTGTTCCTCAGAGCAGCAACTGTGACGTAAGATGGATTTGCTCCGTCAAATGCAGATTCAGTTGATACAATGTATTTGTTAGACAAACAATGCGAAGGTAAAGCCAGATAACCCGTGTCAAAAACGTTTCGATATTCTTGCACTTGCAATGTTACGTTTACGTCAGTTACGATATGTACAGACTTATTTTCCTTTTGGAGACCGTTAAGAGTGATATGCGGGTCTAGTTCGATTAAATTATCTCCCTTTGTTATTGTTGTGTTAATGTAAGCATTGTTTCCAGGAAGAAATATACTTAGGTGTCCATTTTGATTGGATGTAAATAGCAAAGTAATGTTGTCTGCGTCATTTCCGTTTTCGTGTTTTGAAAAGGCTAGAAGAAATTCCTTTCCTGTAGTACCTTTAGAAATATAAAATAAAACACTCTTTCATAAAAGAGCAACACAACAGTTATGAATGCACTTGCTGTGTTATTCTACCGGTATTTACATCTAAGTTTCCTTATACAATGGAAGAGCGTAAAGTGCTTTTATTGTTATGTCTCTCAACTATATTTATGTTTCTCCACAAATTTCTTTTAATCGGTTCATTCTGTGGAAACTTAGTAAAGATTTAATTGAAGTTCTAAGGAAACCCACATGCTAGTGCATTATTTAAGTACGAGTATACTCTTCGTTTTGTTTCATAACGCACTTTTAATTTATATAAATCCTCCTCCTACAACACGGGTATTTTAAATACCTACTTTGGATATTGATAGGTTTCTGGCTCGGTGTGGTAAGGGAGATAACAGAAGACTGTGTGGAAAATATAAGTGGGCTGGTCACAGGTTCTGTAGTTGCACTGCTTGATGCAGACGATGGTGATGGATTTTCGCCAGATGGTTGTGTTGATCCTACACACAACAAAGTATATCAATCGTTACAATTTATACTTCAGTGAACATATGAAGGATACTAAGTATAATGTCAACTAGTATTTTACATTACCTCCTTTGTCGCATTCATAGTTACATAAGTCACCGGAGCAGCACTGATTGCAGTCTACAGAGCGCCTCTGTACGGATCTTCTGCCCACAACAACGACACCTGAAACAGGACACTTATTTACCTTAGTGTACTGTATAAAAGGTTATTTTCGCCCTTTTTACGTTTAAATTTCGAACAGACAGATTGCTTAACAAAACAAACATCAAGGCTCGAGTGAAAATTTTACAGACGTCATTGACGTATGTTCCATATAAGCAAAAAGGCTGTAGCCTACACATCATTTTATCAGGGATAAAAATCCAGTTGAAAAAATGGGAAAGGGGAACTGATAATGAATCTTGCCTATCTAAAATAATATCTGTATGCAAATGCCAAAAAAGCATACTTAGCAATCCGCACATTTATACCTATCCCATGTAAATGTTTTATGTTGTGCTTTTTAAAGTCGAAATTCAAGTGTTATATTAAGTCTTATTAGACAATTTCAAAACCTGATAATAAGAAATATTTTGGTTTGTAGGAAATTAAACATATTGGTCGTATTTCGATTATTCAGAAAGGAGTTTCCATATTTTCTAAGCAGAGTAAAAATAGTTAAAAGTTCTGTTTTGTGAAGTGGTCTTCATGATATTATCTACCCACACTGCGCCTCATATCAAATCCGTGACTTCACACTAGCCTACACATGAGCAGAAAGGAATACGCCACTGGACATCACACGTCAGACAACAAAACGACAATAAGCGAACGTCATTCGATCAGAAAAAGCATGTTTGACTCAGTTGATCTAAATGTAACCGACTGAAAAAAAAATCCTACTCTTAAGTTCTATTTCTAAAGTTCTTTCTTAAAAAAAAAATAAATTTCATGTATATTGCAATCAGTAATGCGATGAGTAGTGGATTCATCACATGCTTCTCCACAGTCCACTACTTAAGCAACATAGTGTTCCTGCACCTTGAAGAATGCTTCTCCTTTACATATCACTACCTATTGTATTTTCAAATTATTACCTTCCTTTCTGACTTAAAGTTCTTAATTTCACTTTACTGACGTTTGACGATTAAAAAAAAACTTCTTGTGTTTATTGTTTTTATATTTATTGATTCTACAGTGTGAATGAGCTCTTATATTCTGACTTGTACTTTCAATTTATGGAGGTGTTGACTAAAAAACAATAGTGTTTTTTTCCCTAAACTGTTATTCAAGGCTTTTGGATACACTATTTATCTGCATATCACTTCAATAAAGTGTTAGTGCTTTATGCACAACTGTTCGCACTTACAGTTAATACAATTTTTATATATTCCCCATAAATATTCTCACAACAATAATTATCATTAATTGGAGGAGAAGGAGTAACAAGTTTTTATTTCAGAAAGTGATCAGAAAATGAAATGTAAAACTTTAGGGGTGACCTTAGCACAGAATGTACAGGACAGTCAGCTACCTTACAAACGAATAAAACTACCTGTAAGGCTTATGCTTACTCGAAACTTCAATGAATATATGAATTTAAATCTGAAAGGAAAAACTTATTTTTTCGAGGAAGTTGGTGAAAAAGAGAAATCATGATCATTAACCAAATAACTGTTTAAATGTTTACAGTCTAACAAAGCAAATACATTCAAAATTGCTATATAGCACATGTATGATATTCTGGTTTTTACATAAACTTGTCATTGCATAGTGTCCTTTCTCTATTTAACAACTTTCAGTTCTCAATGAGTTCATGACTATGTCATGTACGCAATGGAATTGAAAATTGTGAGTAAGTGAAAGACAATAGTAAACAAAATAGTCGAACGCGTCACTTCATAAAAGTGCGTCCTTTTTGAAATACACATTTTCTTTTCGCTAGCTGCAATTTTTGACCTCTAAATGTCTAATAACTTTACAATTAAAATGAAAAATTCTAGTAATTTAACTAAAATAAACATGTTTTAGTCGTACCAATAGGTGCAGTAACCGAGTGTTTATGTGTTGGTCTAGTATGGTGAGTATGTGATTGAACCCTTGTAGTATTTGTTGTGATCACGTGATGAGATGACGTTGTTGGAACAGTTGAAATTGCTGGTCTTGTGAAATTATGCCAGGAGGACAATTCAAACATTGCATAGGGTCTGGGAGCTATAGTCGAACACAGCTATGAAAAATAGAAATCAAATGTTCTTATTAATGTACAATGTATACATGAATATTTTTTTAATTAAAATCGGGCTTTATGGAAGATTTGATCACTGTGTGCCACAAGCCTCTGACGAGCCAGGGAAAATGTTTTGCAGACGCATCCCAATAAAACTCATTGTAAAAATGGGGGGCACAGTGCTATCATTTTTTGAGTTTTATTGGGATGTAAAACGGGTTGACACATGACCTGATACCTTATTACTTATGTTTACATTTGTGATTTATTCATACTTTAAATTTGCCTGATTGTGACTTTTAACGTGTGAAATGCATTATTTTTCAAACCCAACGGCATGTATGTAATCCAACGCCCGTCGACTCTTTATGACGTCACTGAGAAATTACGTCGAACGTTTATCCATACGCACATCTATGACCTCTTGACCCCGTACCTGTATTTACACAGTTATAAAAACGCTTGCTTTCAGTAGTGTTATATAAAGGAAAACATTTGCAAATGTAAATATTAGTGCATGATGAGACATTGGGGGACACAGTGTATGATGAGACATTAGGGGACGCAGTGTTTGATTATACACTTGGGGACGCAGTGCATGATGATACACTAGGGGACGCAGTGTTTGATTACACCAGGGGACGCAGTGTTTGATGATACTTTAGGTAACACAATATATAATGAGACCCCAAGGGACGCAGTGTATGATGAAAAACCAGAGGATGCAATGTATTATAAGACACTAGGGTTGCAGTACATGTATATGACGAAACATTGACGGGGGGGGGGGGGGGGGGCAGTGTATGATGAGACATTGGGGGTGCATTGTATGCTGAGACATTTGGGAACGCAGTGTATAATGATACAGTAAGAGGCACTGAAATGCAATAAATATGGAGATAATGTAGAGTATTCAAGCCCAAAGTCCTTTCAAACAATACAAATTGGGAGCAAACCAACACGCCGACCTCCAAAAACATCAGGATGGGATCAGGTGCAATGGAGGAGTGAGCAGCTCGGCCGACAGGCCACAGCCTGTGTGTCTTCTTGTTATGATCGGGGGGGGGGATACAAAAATCCGTAGACAAATTGCAATTCAGTGTGTAAATAATGGCCAAACAATTAGTATAAAAATGTCAGTCTGCATCTGACCTAATCATAGGTTGTATTTCCAGACAGGCTCATTCACAGGGGCCTGTAACATACTGTATTTGATTTTACATAATCACTCTATGTATACAAAAAGAGAAAGGGAAACAACGTCAGCTCGAATTTACACAGGGTCGATCTCGGAAATAACTCGTGTTTTCAATAAAATACCTTGCAGTTAGTGAAATAACGTCTGGGATCATTAAGTAATAATCACTCTTTAATAAAAATACCATCGCGGTCATTTAAGAATCGTGTAAGTCGTGTTTTGCTGATCCGATATCCTGTCATGCAAGTGATGTAGTTTAAGTCGTCCACTAAATTCGCTAAACATTGCATCCAATATTTAACGCGAGATGTGATTGGTCAATGGTGCTTTTCTACAACAGATCTGACCAATCACGCTCCGCTTTTTACCAATCATGGATTTTTCCAAAATGTCGTCTGTTCTGGGCTCGAGCCTTTATTCAAATCGAAGATGTTGTACCTTTTAATTGCAATTAACAAAAGAAAAAGATGATTTTCGTGAACGCTGGATCTTTACATTGTGTTTTTCATCTCCGGAAAGACTTCAAAACTGAAGAAAATATGCGAATTTTGCCTCGTTTTAGTGGACGACTTAAAGTACATCGACTCGCACAACGGGATATCGAGTTAGTATTACCCAACTTAAACGCTATAAAAAGTAACGAGGTTTCTGTCTTATTAAAGGATATTTATTGTAGTATGATTTCTAGTTATAATTTAATTGGCTACATTCTTTTTTCTATGAAATACGAAATATTTTCGAGATAGACCCTGTGTAAATGACCCCTTTCTATTTATATATATATATATATATATATATATATATATATATATATATATATATATATATATATATATATATATAGTGATTACGTAAAATCAAAAACAGTAAAAATCGACCATAAAACTTGTGAAATGATGGACAGGTTTTAAACGAATCTTTTGATATCCTTATTTCTTCAGCTGAACTTGTATGTCAACATAATTAACTAGCATGTTGACATAAATATGTTGCATGTCTACATCATTATGTTGCATGTTAACATAATTTATCTTGTATGTAGGGGGCAGAAATATGCCACCATACAGCTGAGATACAAAAACCCCATATGCAAGAGATTAGGATATATCTAAGAATATATTGTTAAATGTAAAAGTAAGGGAAATCGACAATTGAAAAGTTAAAGTAATCAAGTTTTCCCCTAAGCTTTGTTGATAGGTCACCATTACCATCTTTTCTAGTAAAATAATCAAAATTAATATGAAAAAGATGTTTCAGACTCTGTGGTATCTTAATTCAAGCTTGCTGGGATATATATCTACTTAATTGTTTTAAGTGATAATCATGGTCAAGATGAGACTAGAGCAAGTTGTTTTTCTTTCTCATATAGAAATTTTATTCTGTTTCATATGAATACAAAAATAGTCTGCTTATAAGGAAGAGAAATTGGTACCCGTGGAAATTTGAACAGATTGTTGGAAGACCGATCTCCAAAAACTACAAAGATGTTGTCAATCAGAAAACAAAAAAGAGAGCACAAGATGGAAAGGAAGAGTGTCGGAACCTTGAAGAAATCAAAGAGACTGTTCATCATAGTTCAACATAGTGTAAAACCACGGGAACATCTGAAGGATAAGATGGCTTCAATGAGTCCAAAGATCAAAAACGTGTTGTCAGTTAAACAAAAAGCCTGTTTCACGAGGACCTTGCACTAAACTTAATCATCAAGGGATGACCGGGCCAAAGGTGAAATTGCACTTAATCTTCTGGGTATTTGGCAAAACCATAAGCTTTGTTTTTGTCAAAGTCATGGGAATTTTGTGACGAGTTCTATCCCAAATAAGTGACCTCTCAATTGAAACTCAGATCTAGATAGATAAATTATAAAATTTATTACAAAAATAATTTGCCTGTATAGGCACGACTTATTAAAAGTAGCGCTAGCCACGAGACTTACAATTCACCACTTCAATATTTTGATTGCTCTACTTTAAATTCGACATGCATACTAGTACGAGCATGTGGTATAGATGTCAAGATTGTTAATCAGTAGTGTAAATTGTTGTACCTGTGAATGAATACATCCTGTGGAAAATATTCGATCCCCAAACTCATAAACCTCTGTTATATGGCAAACCTAGAGAAATAAAACTTTAAATTAAGGAAATTCACTGGTGTTATTCGTCATGAAATAATAAAGCTGCATCGAATGACTTGCATGCTATGGTCAACAGAAAATTTTGTTTTAGAAAACTGAATGATTGATTCACTGTACTATACTACTAGTATTTATACAGAATGAGAATTAACATTATCTTCAATATTTAAGAGAAACAAAGAAAGTATGGTTACCTCCGATTCTCTACAGTAGGTTATCGTCTGGCAGTCTGAAGCGTTACGTATCTGAGTACACCCTAAACACACGGGACCTCGGTTAACCGGAAACCCTATAAGATAGGATATTTACATTGTCATCGGTAAACTTGATTTCTTTTTCTTTTTTCAAGAAAAAAGGGATGTTTGAAACTTTTTGTTAAGAACTTAAGACTCAATTGTGGATTGAAAATTACAGAAAAAAAAGAATAAACAGAACTGTATAATTACTTTTATTACATTTTCAACTGTGAAATACCGTAATTTATCCATTGAATAAAAGTGATATCCTGTCACAGTGTGAAAGGATATCAAAATGATTTGTCACGGTCAAATGAAAGAATATCAAAGTGCGGGAAAATCACCAAAAGTGTTGTTAAAAACTTTGTTATAAGTTAGAAAACGAGTTTATAAATCATTTAAGGAATGACTCTAATTCTTGGCCAGATTATCGAGTATAATATGGTTTGGGTCAGTTTACGCTTTATAATCCGCGAAGCGGATTATAAAAAGCGTACCCAAACCATATTAACTCGATAATCTGGCCAAGATTTAGAGTCATTCCTTATTACTTAATTAAAAAATAATGAAACAACTGTGGATGTAAAATTTTGTTGCTTTTTATGAGTTCAAATTTACCGCGCAATAATACAACCGTAGTAACTGAAGTGATGGGAAGCGAGGGGAAAAAAGATACATAGATCTAGCAGCCATGATGCTTGTTTACATGAGGTAAGATCGAGCAACTGTTTGAAGTTAAAGGTACATTCATTATATATACTGGAAATGAGGGGATTGATGGATACAGATGATTCAGCTGGTTATGTGTTACCAAACCAGATTATACAAAATGTTATGCGTTCCTTTTTGGAAATCAACCAATGAGAGACAAGAATACAAACAGAATTAAATTATTCTGTCATAAAATAAAACTGCGAAAGTTCCCCAAATATGTTGCTGAAATTCAAGTTTACAATGTTTTTCCATAGCTATGACGTCTCAATCGCTCAACTATGACGTCATATACCTAAGACTGCATCACAAAAAACACGTAGGCAACCGGAAAATCAAAGAAAATGTAATAAACAGAAAATTCAATGTTTTGTAGTGAATAGATTTATTAATTAATATGCACTTGAAATATCCCATCAATTCTCTATATATACATATAAATATTATGTTGTCAAGGTTATTTTCAACTGGTTTTTAGAATGTTTAATTTTTTAATTTAACTTTAAAAAAGAATTTCCTTTTAGATTTATTAATTAATATGCACTTATATCCCACCGTCAAATAATACCAGTATTCATTTAGTAGTACTAATATGACTTAAAATTTTGAAATCCATTTTAGTATAAACAAGTGTTGACATAAGAAAGTTCTCCCCAGCTCGAGTTTATTAAAATGAAAATATAGATATTAATTTTAAATGTATAAATAAAATTGACAAACCTGGTTCGCCACAACCTTTCGAGTTGCACAGATTCGAGTTGCAACATTCAGTGCAAGTTATCGTCTGCATCAATCCGTTTGTATAGGCCGTTATAGAACCGGTGGAATTCTGTCTCACGCATACCTGAAAAAAAGATTTTAAATCTTCAAAATCAATTTATTTTTTACATGTCCTGAAAACATTTTTTTCAGCAAATACATGTAAATGATCTCAATAAATGTATTATAACAATTCATATTCAAAATTCATTAAAATTTATAATTTATGGCAAGTGTCTCAAATGGCCCCTTAAAATGAATTATCTTAATTTTACTTTAAATATAGCTTTAATTTGTATAGCTCTACATGTGACCTTTATTGCTCATTTTCAATTTGACCAAAATAATTTAGAAATATGACATCATTAAGGCTCAAGTGAGCTTTTTGATCAAAATTTGCCCGTTGTTTGTCGTCGTTGTTGTTGTCTTGTCGTAACCTTTTCATACTTTCATCTTCTTCTCAAAAATCACTGAGCCAATTTCAACCAAACTTGCTACAAAGTATCCTTGGGTTAAGGGGATTCAATTTTGTTCAAATGAAGGGCCACGCCCTTTTCCAAAGGGAGATAATTATGAATTAGTGATAAATTAATGGTATTTTTAAAAAATCTTCTCAAGAATCAGTGGGCCAGGAAAGAGGAAACTGATGTAGAAGCATCCTCTTATAGTAGATTTTCAAGTTTGCTCAAACTATGACCCCCGGATGTAGGGTGGGGCCACAATATAGTATAAAAGTTTAGCACAGGAATACATAGGAAAAAAGTTCTTCTCAAGAACCACTGGGGCAGGAAGGATGAAACTCATGTTGAAGCATCCTATGGTAATGAAGATTCAAGTTTTACGAAATCATGACCCCTGGGGATAGTGTGGGGCCACAATGGGGTATCAAAGTTTAACATAGGAATACATAGGAAATAATCTTTTTCTCAAAGACAGCAAAGTCGTGAATGGTCATAGTTATATGGAAGCATCCTCTGAAAGTGTATATTCAAGTTTGTTCAAATCATGACCCTCGGGGGTAGGGGCGCAACGGGGGATCAAAGTTTAACATAAGAATACATATGAAAAATATATAAATCTTCTTCTCAAGAACAACAAAGCCATGATTGGTCATAGTTAAACGGAAGCATCCTCTGGTAGTGAAGATTCAAGTTTGTTCAAATCATGACCCCTGGGGCAAGGGTGGGGCCATTATGAGTGATCAAAGTAGGATTACGAAGAAAAAAAAAGCATTTTTAGGAAGTATAGATTTAAGTTTGTTCAAATATCTCCCTCCCCCTCCTCCCTCGAACCCGCTTTTATAATATATTTAAAATTTTCAATACTAAAGTTAAACTAATTTTTCGCCGATGCATAGCTAGTTGCTCAGGTGAGTGATGTTGCCTCTAGGCCTCTTGTTATTATAAACAAGAGGCCTCTGGTAGTGAAGATCCATTCGTTATTATAAATAATGGGAGGATAATTCCATTTTTCGAATGTTCATTCCATATTGGATCCAAAAAGTTCTCTTATAGAAATCAAAAATTGTTTTCTCGAGTATAAAGTGTTTTGCATCACATATAAGGGTTTATATTATACATGTAAGTAGCCTAATTTTCTCACATCATTCAGCATACATCCTGAGTTGTAGCGAATTCCATCGGATGAAGCAACTTTTTCCACGAAGCAAACCTAAAATTAGATAACAACAAGTGTTTAACTTTGACAAAGTGCAGTATTTAAGGTATATTGAACAAATTTTTACTGCAGAAATACTGATACCAAAGTGACAAGATTAATTTCGCATCTGCAACAAATATATTATATATTCATAACTTTGACCATTCAATCAATTCAAAACATTCATTATTAAGTATTTTTCTTCTATTTTTTACTTTCTTTTATGAAACCATATTACACCTCAAAGGTTTATGTCTTGAAATTGCCATTTCTTTATAGCCCTTGACTGCAAACTATTTAATTGGCTGTTATCCATGGTCCATATTGTCAATTCTTGTCTAGTAGTAAATAAAGTTTGCCATTTGTGGATTATTTTTTTTATTCACCTTTTCATTTTCATGCAAAATCCAGATATTTTATGAGCAAAAGTATTTTGCTGCTTTATGTGACCATAGTTCTACTTGCCTCGTTTTCAGCACAGTAGGTGATACCGTGACAGTGACGTGGTTGAATGACGTTGACACACTGCAGACACATCAAGGCTAATCCTGGAAAGAAACAAGTACAAGCAATATTATACAAAAAATCTTCCTCCATTGTTTGCAAATGCAAAGTAAAATTAAGTGAAAAGACTTTTGAAAATATAATTGCATTTGAATTCATTCTGACTGTACAATATATATTTTTCTGTCGAATATTCCTGATAATCACTTTTTTAAATCACAACAAAGTTTACTGTTTCTATCTCTATATATTGTTTATAATTGTCACGTATTTTGTAAATAATACTTTGTTGTTTTCTTGTATCATTTAACCTTAAGCATAATAAATCAATGCACCTTTTAGCTTAAGAAAAGTGAACTTTTAAAGAAAATTTAGTAATTTAAATTTAAATTGTACTTCGGTTTTAAATCACCTTATCGACTCCAAAATAGAAAAACGAAACGCAAAATAAAAATTGAAATTAAAAAAAATCTAACCATAAATAAGCTACATATCTTAAGGTAGGTCACTCGTCAGCTATTTGGAAAAGTTCACGCAGAACCTCTTACTTCAAAACTATTTATCAATATTCCATTTTTTAAACATATTTAATTTCAACAAAGTTATTGTTATAACATTCAACAAAAAAACTGCTCAAAAAGCTACAAAGAAACAAGATTTTTGAGGGACTATTTTTTGTGGTGGAAGGATATTTAGCAGATAATTCTGCAAATCTGCACATTTATTAGATTTAATATCTTAGACTTTTAGCCTCACATACTTTTACTCGGAGAATATTTTCCATTATGATATTGCTAGGAATATTTAATAGAGGTCTTAATTTATATTTTTAGAAAAAGTTTTACACTTCCTTCAACAAACATTGCCAAAAATGAAGATATGTCAAATAAGTCAATATAAAATTAACACCATTTTTTGCCTGAAAATCACATATTTTGACCAATATTTCAAAATTAACATCACTGACCCCAACTTTTTCTTTCATTATTTTAAAGTACTCGATACTTGTGACTGATCAGCACTTAAGTCGTAAAAAGCTTGATATAAGAAAATCTTTTATTGCCTATTTAGTTTTTTAATACCCCAAAATATGTTACTTTTTAGTGCAAAAAGGTCACACAATAATTTACGCGCATTAATTTGCAAGATTTGTTCAATGATGAATATTATTCAAAATATTTTAAGCAAAATAAGATATGTTTTGCCATGGTTACATCTGATAAAATATAATAAAGGCTTAAGTAATTAACCAACGAGTTAAAGTTTAAGTGCAAAAAGGTCAACTTCATTGTACCGTAAATCAGTAAGATGAACACTGACCCCCTTTTTTCTCCGCGATTTTGAGTCACTCTAAATGAGTACTTATCCAAAATATACTTCTCAATAAATCCTTGATTTAACAAATTTCACGAGTGACATACCTTAAGTTGTTTTTTATTCTGACAATTATTCTTACCTTGTGACAATTCTGCACTCAGTAAAAGCAATATTGAAACCAGATCTAAAATATTTTAATACATTCATCACTTATTATTTAAACGTGATGACATCTCATGAATTTCTCTCACTTATGAAGCAATATTCCAATATCATCTGTATGAGGTTTTTGTCTCCTATTTGAATTTGATCTTCGTTTGATTAATTTAAAAAAAAAACGATTAATTATCGATTATTAACCCACAAATTAAAAAAAAAGCACATCAACAGTTTCGTTTGAAATTATCATTTTGGAAGTCCTATAGTCGATACAATGATCTAATCAATATAATACATCTCTCATTATGTCAAATCCCGACTGACGGTTTCATACTTAATGTAAGGCCAATTTTCATACAATAAAACCTCGGATTTTCCCTTTTACCAATCATTACATGGGGCGGGTGTGACCGGTCTGTCCATAGAATGCTTACTCCTCCATGGCACTTGCTCCGTCTAATATGTTTTCAGAGGTCCGTATTTCCTTCGCCCCAAATGTGCATTGTTTATATGAACTGTAAACTTGAATGCTATTCGTTATCTCCATATAACATTATGAAGAAAGCACGTGGAACTTAAGAACTTCTAATGTACCAGAGAAGAAAATAATTACGTAGTATGCATATTTATAAATTAAATGTTTCATACAATGTATGTTAACAGAGTAATACTAAGAAATAAGTAGTTATGACTAGTATGATTTGTTTCTTATTATATTATTGAGATCACTTACAACTTACTGTTCATTGTACGGCGTTTTATAGATAAGAAGAGAAACTGATATGCATTGAAATTCTATACATTGTCTACTTCGATCAAGGGATTTGAAATGGAATACACGGAGATAACGAACAGTATTCGAGCTCAAAGGTCCATTTAAACAATACAGATCAAGAGCAGAGCAAATAAGAGTCCTCTAAAATATCAGAGGTGGGATCAGTTGCCATGAAGGAGTGAGTGTCCCCTTCCAACCAGTCACACTCACCGTGTGTTCCTTGTCATGATCGGGAAATAACGGAAAAATCGATGGACAATTCAGTGTGTAAATAATGGTCTAACAATTAGTATGAAGAATGACAGTACATTTGACTTAATGATATATTGTATTTTCTGACAAGGTAATTGAATCGACCATAGAACGTACGAAAGGATGACTTTAAACGAGACTGCTGATATTCGTGCTTCATCAACTTGTTTGTCAATAACTTACTTCCTTTTATTAATTGTAATTATAAGGTGCTAGTACGTTACATATTGTGTGTATGTATATATTATTGACCTTTCAAAGGCTTCCTTGATTAAAAAATCATACTGCATTAGAAATATTTCATACGGGTGGCAGTGAAATATGGGTTCTTACTAGTTTATCGGCGTTAATGCACTAATGAAAGGAAGAAACCAGAAGTTTTTTCTAGACTGTAGCTCTATTGGTTTGTGCTTATAACAAAGGAAGAGAAAAGTAGAGGCTGAGACTTGAAACTTTGACCTGTAGAGCTAAAAATCGACAAAATTTAAGTAGATGTAAAATGTTGTAACTGACTTTGATGATTAGTTAACTTTAATCTTAATTACATCAATTTAATCATTATTCATCAATTCTTTTTGCCATCTTTAACGACAAACCAGAGTCGAAAATCAAGTTTTAATTCATTCCAAGGAATTATATTAATTTTTTACAAGGAAAAAGCCCCGGAATGGTCGAGGCTTCATCAACCACTTGGGGATCCAGTGTAATAGTGAGGTGTTGGAGTTATTTTACCTGGAAAAAAAAGATTAAAGGTTAATCTTGTGCTCTACCAAAGATTGCACTTATAATTTGATTTGATTTTATAAATTGATTTTATGAGCTATGTTTTAGCTGAACATAAATCCTTACTGTAGTGTACGCAGACATCATTACACAAATCTCCTCGACAACAGTGTTCACAAGATGTGAACCTCTTATGTCTGTTGTTATCTCTCTTGCCAACAATAGGAACGGGATCTGCATCAGTTGTGGTAGATAAAATGGGTTTTGGTGAAGGTGACCACGGAGGCAGTATTGTTGTCATTGCTCTAGTTGTCCCTGGTGTTATTTGTGTTTTTGTTCTAGTTATTCTTGTTGTTGGTAAACGTGTTGTTCTAGTTGTCCTTGTTGTTGGTAACCGTGTTGTTCTAGTTGTCCTTGAAGTCGGTAAATGTGTTGTTGCTTTTCTTGTTGTCGAGTATGTGTGATGATGCATGTTCGATAAATCCACCACAGCGTGGTTATTGGATACTATGCTTATACATTGCTGATTATAATCAACAACAACAATTTACAATCAAATTTTTATTACAAAAATTTTAAACTTAAACTATATGAGAAATTCTAATTCTACCTGAAATGGCATGCATCCTGAGGAATAAACTTTATCACCAAATTCTGATTCCTCCTTGATGAAACACAACTGAAGTTGAAATAGAATACATATGCAAAACTAGAGTTTTAAAAATTATATCAACATAATTTTACAGAGCGTTTTATCAAACATGTCCCGACTTTGCAGTTTCCCAAAAAAAGTTTTTTTTAATAAATCTTCAGTCAAGATGAATCGAATTTCCGTTAATATAAATTCCCCTATTGTTTTCGTAATGAACACGGAGATTGTGTATGAGCGGCGACATGGGTTCGAATTCCAGTTGGGAACATAGAACATAGAAGCATGTCCCTTGAATGAGACCGAATGAACTGAAATCCAATGTTTCAGTATATGCTAGAACGAAAAAATCCCTCACTCACTGCTCTCTGATAATAAGAGCTTAGTACAAATCTAAATTTGTACCTTTCAGTAAAATATACTCAAATGAACCTCTAGCAAACGATAGTGTCATGTTAAATACATTCACCTCAGAATCTCTACAGTGAGCTATTTGTCGACATTCCTGACTGTCAAAGTGCTGAGTACAAGCTAAACAGACAGGTCCTCTACTACTCAGTGGAGGGTAACCTAAAACAAATAAATATCATGTATGACTTAATTTATGGAGGGCACCAGGGGTAGTCTAAAACAACAACAACAACAAATATCATCCACCATGTATGGACCATTTATTGCACTAAGAAAGCTGATGTTTCGAAGAAGATCTAAAAAATGTTTTGGAACACAGAGGTTGCCAAATTTCCAATATCCTATCTAATATACGCAAAATACAAATAATACAATTTCAAATTGTGAGAAGAGCCAACTAGTACATCCGAAACAGGGGTGAGATCATTTAATATTGAGAAGTAAGCATTCCTTTTCGGCCGATCACTCCAGCTTTGTGCTGTTTGTAACCAAGGGGGAAATGGAAATTCAGAAGGCATGAAATGGCAAACGTGAATGTTTCTAACAAAGAAATTTTGCAAATGACCAATGACAAGGTAAGTAACTTTACGAGTTCCATTACTATTGAAAAAACAGCTGTCGATGTTGTCAGAAAATATAATTACTCAACAACTTGGAAGAAGGTAAAACTCAAAAGCTAACTTTAAGCCAGGTTTTACTTTCAAACATGGTCATTGGATCGACCCTAGAATTTGGAAGCTTTAAACGAAATTGTTGATATCCGTTTATCATCAACTTATTTGTCGATAATTTGCTTCCTTTTAGAAATTGTTCGAAAGTAGAAAATGCTCTTATCTTTCGGAGACATAAATTTCTAATGCAAAAAATATAGCGCCACTAAAGTGTATATAAATAAATTTCCACAGCAGCAAAAATATTTTAAAGAAATTAAGCAAAAATTTAGAGCGTATAAAGTTAAATTCCCTCGAATATTCTAGAGAAAATCGGTGAAATTGATGCCCAATTCTTTTTAAATAAAACTCATTCGATACAAAAATTAGTTAAATTACTGCATGCTAGTGATTGGAAATGCTTCATTTGAATGACTCTATGTTACCTGGTTCGGTGCATCCTTTAGCGTTACATAGGTCGGTATCACAACATTCTGTACACGTAGGTGGGCGGAGATTACCGTCATCACTCCCGTGTATGTGAAGAGTTTGATTCTGTTCTATACAAACCTAAGAGAATTATTCATAAGGATATATATATAACATATAAATATATTATGTAAGTAGAAAATATGGATCATAATTATACTTTTTTTTAAATCAAAAAGTCGGATGAAGTTTAACTCACTTGTCTTTGAAGGCAGCCCGTGTTGTACCTTACACCATAAAGTGATTCAACTCTTTCTACGAAGCAAACCTTTAAAAACAAGATGTTCAGACTAATGTCTCCTCATATGAAAGAGAACATGTCAATGCTTTCGAATAAATCAAATACTCTTCATCAAAAATGTTTGTGCAAAGATAATGAAAAGTGACCCAATCGTCAAAAAAATAAAAGAGGACAGATATTAGATGATAGACTTCGAAAAGAAAAGCTCACAAGAGGAGCACTTGTTTGCTTTTGTTGTTTACGTCCCTCACGAAAATTTTTCAGTCATATGAAGACGCCACAACTTGCCGATAGAGAGAGCTCTGCATATTTTGTCTTATACTCGGCACTTACGGCCATTGAGAAGTGAGAAATCTTTTTCTTGCCAGCACCTACTGCAACACGGGAGCTCGGTTTATATGGTCTCATCCGAAGAGTTTCCACGTCCCATAGTGGATTTTCGAACCCGCGAGGTAAGGATGAACTCCTTACTTCGTGACTCTAAAAAAAAAAACCATGTTGCAGTAAAACGCCCTAACCACTGCGTCACGCAGGGCTTTCCAAAACAATTTGTAGGAGTACTTAAGGGATTTAAAAGAAGGCAATAAAAAAAATTATAGACTTTCTTATACGCACCTCATCCTCTGCACAGTAAGTTATACTGTGACAATGGCGGGGCTGGATAGAGCCTCTACAGGATAAACACATTAGTGACAGAACTGAGGAAGAAATACAGAAGTACTGGAATAAACAATATAAACATACAGAATTCAAATTCTCAGTAGAAATTATTCTTAGCGTTTTCTCAGTCTAAAATTTAATTCCAAAATTTCAAATTTCTGATTTAAAGCAAGATTTTTTCAAATACAAAACCACTTTATACCAAGTTTGATCGAGAATATGTTGAAAAACACAAGAATGAGCAGCATTTCTACAAAAGTAAATAACAATTGTTAAACGTTGATATCATTAACAAACCTGTAAGCCACAGTATTGTAATTTTTGATTAAGATATAATATGTGACTTAATGTTTTAGCTATCTGTAGCATACAAACAGATACTGGCTTACCGCTCTTCTTTTTGGCAAAATACACATTCATAGCTGTAACATATTTCCTTCATAAATCACAAAACATCGTTTTTGATTTTAAACTTCTCTTTCAGATAATGGAAACTGCAGGAAGCAGGTCTATAAAAGGCACAATATTATTATGGAAAAGGAATCGCAGAGGTGTAAAACGTCAGACAGACTTTTACTTATACTTACTCGATCGTCCATAAAAAGTAGGTCAACACAGGTGAGTACCTTTCGATAGCGACTGTATTTTGACTTTAAGATCGCCTGTTTGTGTCTAAGTACAAAGATCACTTTCTCCTCTCCGAATTTCTATGTTAGAATAATTTTGAAAGTTAATGTAAATGTTTCCGGTCCATTTTCAGTGACTGGGTCATATTTTGAAGGGACGTTAAACGTTTTAATTGTTTAAATTAAATTCGCCCTACCGAATACTTTCACTGAGTAAAATTTGACCCAAGCTCAATTTCCTCGACAAAAAATAGCATACAAAGTCCTTGAATGGGAAAGAATTCAAGAAAAAAGGAAAGAAATTAATAATTAACATAGCTTAAATATGTTTAAAAAAGAGTGACCTCGTATTTGAACCTGTTTTTTTTTTGTAACTTGACAGTTTTGACATAAGACTTTTTTACTTAATATTAAATGTTTCTTGATACATATATACTGCTCTTACCCAAAACTGTTCTTAGACCAAGAATATTAACTGATATCATACATGGCTACAACAAGGGTTTGATTGTTTTTCATGACTCATTTCAATAACCTGACTCTTTTTGTTATGACCTAGAAAGTTTGAGCGAACCATCTATTTGGCTGATTGTCTGTCCACAATATTTTTTAAAATTCTATTCCGTTGTTATTTTGTTCATATTTCGATGAAAATTGGTCCTGTAGACTAAAAGTGTTGCAATGATGGTTTATCAATTTTAAAATATTTGTGAAACCTTTTGGAAAACTTATCTTCTATAGTTTTGTCTTATTTGAAAAAATTTTGGTGCGCAAGTACTGGTATTCTTCCCTACGATATGATGTTATTTACACTAATTGTCAATTATATATTGTCGTTTGGATGTGTGCATGCATCGCTTCATTAACAAGTATGATATGCTTGATGTTTAGTAGGAGTGAAATAGACAATTTAATATAAAAATACCATATTTTTCCATTAACACCATTTGCAGATATGTTTTTATTCATATATCAATGCAGAATGCAGAACTCATAAAAACACTACTTAATGAAAAGCAGAAATAGCTTAATTTCTTGGTCTTTAATTTGACATTTAAATCTATCGATGATGATTCATCAACTTACAAATTTATTTTCGTTTGTACATTAATTCGACTTATAATTTGAACTAGAAATAAAGACACCACAGGGTCTGACGATTTTATATTTAGATATTTTACTAGACTGTAAAGAGAAATACACTTACGACAAAATAGCGAGAAAACTTTTTAATTAACCATATATTTTACTCCTTACCTGATACTATATTTTACCTTTCGACCGTTCCTAACACTCCTAATATGACCTTGGAATATCAATTTTAAAAATTCTGATGTCCATAGTGGTGACATATTAAAAGAACACACTGGTGTTATATATTTAATTTCCTATTGTACATATTCATCTCATTTTCATCATTGCTTTCTTTATAGCCAAACGGTTTAGATTGTATTTGATCTTCGATTTTTTTTTCTTTTGTATTTTCTCGGATTGTGTCCATTCGACTACACGCAGTCACATGAGAGTTGTCTAGAACCGTTGAATTGTAAATAAACTATTGGGATTAGGAGTAAAATATTTGGTTTTTAACTGATATCATGGGATACTTACTCCCCCTAGGCATCTGATCCCATCTCTGTCATATCCAACGGTTCCTGTTTATGCATGCTCACGATTTGCTTTGTTTACTGCATTTATGTGATTATCCGTTTTACGTTATTATCATCTCTTACACATTAACTTATTTATATTTTTATTGCATCCCCTCATTCAGGGGAGTTTAAGCTTAAATACAGAAAGTTAAAGGAAACATTCAAATTAACATATTTCACAGTGAAAATTTTTAAACACTAGCTTAACACCGATAGAAGGCTTTGTTTTCAGTGGAGTCTACATTTCAGCTGTTCAATTTTTGATCCATACGTGAAATACGTTTTTTACTTTTTATACATTGTTGATTGTTTAAAACACTGATCACTAATGCGTTAATTTTAGCCCCACTGGATATCCATATCCTTGATTATGCTTAAAACCATACGCCATTAGTCCAAATGGATGTCCCTGTAAATTTTCTACATCATGGGAATGCAGTTGACTCAAAGGAATATTTATTACAACGTAGGGTGACCCATTTAAGGCAATTGTTTCCAGAGTAGCGTTAATTTGATTAAACGGTTTGTCGTCAAGGACAAGTCCCCCTTCTTGGCCCTTCTTTGTAATAATGGAAATGAAATGTTTGTATTCACCATCATCAGAAACACTGAAGTGATAATCGCTTTTGAATTGCTGGATAGCTGGGGTAACTAACATTGCACCACTAGCGTTCTCCTTTACCGGTTTCATATCTTCAGTCATTTGGAGTACGAGAATTGGCTTATTGCTCGAAATACAAATTGATTTGTTAGTCATTGTTTCGAATTCTTTGAAAGATCCTGCTGTCGGAAGATTTACAATTTTACCGTTTACGGCCACTTGCGTTCTGTCCTCTGAAGCAATAATCTTATAAGTAAAGGTTTGTCTGTTTTGCAGCTTTGGAATTATGAAATCTGTACCTAAAGCATCTGTAGGTGGAATCATTTGTATAACCTTTTGAGTCTCGCAGTCTTGAGTACATACTGTTGATGGAATAACTGTTGATTTAGCTCCAGAAAAAACAGCCACTGGTTTGGAACTATCGATTACTGTACCTGTCAAATCGGTTCCATTGACCTCTAGTTGAAAAGTCTCGTACTGATTTAAAGTTATGTTGAAGCTTTCCCCATTTTCATATCGGTAGTTTCTCCATGGACTTATATAAACATATCTGTTTTTGTCCTCGAGTCTGAGGTTAAATCTTACTTTTGTGTCATTATGTAGCGCTACAACAGTAATAAAGGAGGGGCTGTCCTTCGTTCCTTTGGCTGATGCTGCCACGTAACGGTTAGACAAGTCAGGGACAGGAATCACAGAGAAGGCAGTGTCACTACCATTTCTATACTCCATTACATGGACAGATATGTTAACGTTAGATTTGACGTAAATTCCTTTCTGTTCATTCCAAGGCACTGAGGTTGCAGTGGATGGATCTAACGATATAATGTTTCTACCCTTTGTTAGAGTGGTATTAATGAAGGATTTGGTATTTTCAAAGTAAACACTGATCATTCCATTATTAGGGGAGGTAATCACCATGGAGACATTATCTGCATTCTGTAGATTTTTGTGCTTTGACAAGGCAAGTAGAAACTCTGAACCAGATAGGCCTAAATTGAATAAAGACGTGTGAAGACGATATGAAATATACATGTAGTGATTGGAAGTTAACATTTTACAAGAAAGTTAATAAGAACAAAGAAAATAACTTCATTTATTTGTGGATATATGAATGTCGCCCCCTTTTTTTGCATTACTTGGCGAGGAAAAGTTAGAAGACTGCAGGGAAAGGCATTTTTAAGTTTAAAAGGTTTTTTAGCAAGGTCGTTTAAAGACGTATACTGCACCTGTATATGTAACTGGAAATGCTGTTGGTTTTGTTGTTGTAGTCCTGGAGGTAGTTGTAGTAGGATGTGTGGTAGGATTGGACGTGGTACGAGTAGGAGATGGTGTGGTAGGATTGGACGTGGTACGAGTACGAGATGGTGTGGTAGGATTGGACGTGGTACGAGTAGGAGATTGTGTGGTAGGATTGGACGTGGTACGAATAGGGGATGGTGTGGTAGGATTGGACGTTGTACGAGCAGGCATATGCGTGGTAGGATTAGATGTTGTACGAGTAGGAGATGGTGTGGTAGGATTCGACGTGGTACGAGCAGGCGTATGTGTGGAAGGATTAGATGTGGTAGGAGTAGGAGATGGTGTGGTAGGATTCGACGTGGTAGGTGTGGACCTTGTAAGAGTTGATATAAGTGTTGCAGATGTTGTTTGGTGATCAGTACTTGATGTAGGATTCGATGGCGGAGAAATGGTAAAGTAGGCTGGTGTAGGTGTTAAAGGACCTGTTCAAAATGAGGTCAAGAAAGATAAGCTAGGTGAGTTTTGTTTTAAATGTAGGAGGTATTTTGAACATACAAAAATGTTTTAATATTGTATGTTCAAAATTCGTATTCTACAGAGAATAGAGAGTGGATTTCCTCTTTGCACTATGCTTGTTTTTGATTTTTCGACACGAATCCAAAGTAAAATTAGGTACACATTATCATGGTTTTAATAAAATAATAAATATGTAAGCTGGTAATAAAAAAATATATATATATATATATATATATATATATATATATATATATATATATATATATATATATATAATATATATATATATATATATATATATATATATATATATATATATATATATATATATATATATATATATATATATATATATATATATATATATATATATATATATATATATATATATATATATATATATATATATATATATATATATATATATATATATATTAAAGTAAAATACTTGTAGTATACTAAAAAAGAATTAATCTTTTAGCTTCTGTTATACTGCATTTCAAATAAGCTTTATAGTTAATGCTTTTTAAAAAAAATATTAATGGAGGTACTGTACTATTAGGGCTGCACAAATCATTGCAAAGATCTCCCCTGCAACACACATGACAGGAGATGAAGCGCTTCCGTCTACCATTCAAAATGGCTGCCCTATATGATGGAGAGGCCGGCGTATTTTTGGAATCTGTAAGTTTTATTGCAGATAGAAATTGAAAATTCGCACTCACACAATTCATTAAATTTCTTATTTGTTTACTTGTAACCTTGTAAAATCTCAAAAACTGTGATGAGTTGATAAGATGCAAACCAAAATTTGTAATCGTAATTAAAATTGATATTTTTTTCTTTTATCTTTAACATTTCTTAGAGCAGAATTTGTGAACTTACCAGTGTATCCCTTTACAAGAAAGTTACTTTGATCAGACAAAATTGATATTTCCGTAATGTCAGGAAAATTTGAGGTTAGTGGTAAGGAAGAGTACTTTGAAGATCCATCGACCATGTGGATAAATTGGTCGGTTATCCCGGTTGGGACAATTTTTGAGGTAGGAGGTAAGTTTGTAATTAGTCCATCAACCATATGTATATTGCTGTCTGTTATTCCGGTTGGTACTTGGGTTGAGTATGGCGAGTTGGATGTTGATTCATCAACCATATGTATATTGCTGTCTGTTACTCCGGTTGGTACTTGGGTTGAGTATGGTGAGTTGGATGTTGATTCATCAACCATGTGTATATTGTCTGTTATCCGGTTGGTAATTGGTAAGTTGGATGTTGATTCATCAACCATGTGTATAATGCTATCTGTAATTCCAGTTGGTACTTGGGTTGAGTGTGGTGAGTTGGATGTTGATTCGTCAACCATATGTATATTGTCATCTGTAATTCCAGTCGGAACGACTGTGGAGTATGGAGACAAAGTGATAGTTGATCCATCAACCATATGAATATTGTCATCTGTGATTCCAGTTGGTTGATCAGTTTCAAATGAGGTTACTGTTGTGCCTATAGTTGTTCTTGTTTGAAGGGATATCGTAGGTTTTTCTGTCTTTGAAGGTCTTGAAAAGTGATGAGAATTAGACAAATCTCCAATTGCTTGGTTATTCTGAACTACACTCAGACATTGCTGCAAGAAAGCAGCGGATTTCAAACAACTAATATCACAATCAATTATTTATCAATTCTTTTCGATAAAAAAAATCAAATTTATTACTTGAAAAGGCAAACATCCTGTTGAATAAATTTGGTCGCCAAATTCCTCCTCTTTTTTAATGTAGCATAGCTGAAAATTTATTAGGCATCTGTTATCTAATATTGCAAAAATACGTCATTAATTTATCAAAGAATATACAATAAATTATATTGTACCTCAATACTTATGTTTTGATCTATTAATATATGAGATGCAAATTAAAATTTCTTTGGAGTACTTTATCAGATTTATTTAAAAAATATCTTATGAATACATTAATAGATTAGGTCTTTAAGCATTGAATCTTGAGGCACAAGTTTGTAATTTGTGTTGTTTATTACGAGTACCTCAGAGTCTCTACAGTGGGCAATCTGTCGGCACTCCCTTGCATCATCATGTTGGGAACAGGCGAAACAAATTGGACCTCTCACAACCGGATACCCTTTTTAATCGAATCATTTATTGAGTTAAAAATTAAGTATTTTGCTCTTTTATGAGAAAGGTTAATTTTTTAGAGCCATAGGATCACGTACATCATGTACATAATATTAATGTACAAACCGTGATCTTTTGGTGTTGGCCTTTACAATGTAATGGATATATGGGTTTATGGAGGATATAGAGGATGTTTACAGTACATACTTAGAAACTCTAGTGTTTGCCTTTGAAGATATAATAGTCATGAGCGTTCACTGGTAGTTGTTTAGTGAACATACCTGAATACTTTAGTGTTCGACATAAGGAAGAATATGTTGGATTTGTTGATGGGTTTTATGGAGGTTAGCGTACATACCTATATATACTTTAGTGTTCGTCTTATTAAAGAATATGTAGGATTTGTGGGTATTGTGGATGTTAGACTATATACCTGAATACTTTAATGTTCGCCTTAAGAACTAATAACCGTCTGTTCTAATATAAATTTTCACTTTTTTTTTTTTAAAAACTTTGATCTATTGCACCAGCTTCAGATGGAGAACAATATGAGGTATGAAGCGCTGCTTATTTTTTTTTCATATTTGATTTTTATATCGAATCATGATATGAAAAAATCTTAACGCAGAAGATGGGAAAAATAATGATTTATTTTCACAGCATAAAATTAAAAATATTAGTTTTATGAAATATATGGAGATAACGAACTATTTTCAAGCTCAAAATTTTATTTTACACATTACAAAATAGGAGCGGAGTAAACACTGAATACCAAAACATCACAGGTTGGATCAGATGCCATGGAGAAGTGAGCATCCCCTGTCGACCGGTCACACCCGCCGTGTGCTTCTTGTCTTGATCAGACAATAACAAAAAACATCCATGGACAACTCAGTATGTAAAAAATAGACTTACAATCAGTATGAAAAATCAGTCATTTGACTTAATGGTAAATTGTATTTGCTGACAATGTCATTGTGTTGACCATATTACTTACGAAATGATGACTGTAAAGGAGGCAGCTGATATTGTTGTTTCATCAACTTGTTTGTCAGTAACTTACCTCGTTTTAGAAATTGTACATATGCAGAACATGCTCTTCCGTATCGAATCAACCGAGAGATATAAACTCCGTATGCAGGTGGCAGAGGTATACTGCTGCATAAGTAAGGAAAGTTGACGATTGAAAAGTTAAAGTCATCACGTTTATTATGAAGCTGTATATGAAAATAATATTTAGTATCATGACTATCAATTTCATATTAGAAAACTTAATAAAGGGCTGCTTCGTAAGTCAGAATTTTACAATTTCGCAATGTAGTTCTAAGAGAAGAAAACATCTAGTAGCAAGAATTATCTTTCTTATGAATTTTTTTTCGTTGGAAAAAAATGTTTAAATCGAAAAAAAAAATCAAATTTGGTACTTAAAACATGAAACAATTTGTAATAGGTCCTTAAAAAGATAGAACTAATTTAAAAGACTTTTGATACTGAATCTAAATCTTTTTTGTTCAATACAATAAAAATGATTACAATTTGAAATGTATAGGTAAAGGAAATTGAAGGTAATGTTTGCATCACATGTCAGTCAAGCTTGATCAAATTGACTGCTGAAATCTGATGATGAAAACTTTGATTAATTTTCGTATTTTACTTCGAAAGTTATCTCTCTTATCAGAGGGTCGGTACCCCTTAAGGAAGAATATGCTGGGTTTATGGGTGGGTATAATAGAGTTTAAATAGTGTACATACCTGAATACATGTACTTATAAATTTGTGTTCGCCTTTAGGAAGAATATGGTGGGTTTGTGGGTGGATATTAAAGGATGTTTAGTGAACATACCTGAATACTTAAATGTTTGCCTTTAGAAGGAATATGTTGGGTTTGTGAGTGGGTATTATAGGATGTAAGTGTACAGACCTGGTTCCCCACAACCCTCTGCATTACACAGATCGGACTGACAACACTCAGTACACGTGTACGGAACGGGGTTTCCTTCGCCATTATTTTTTATGACATTTGTTTTGTTTTGCTCTCTGCAAACCTGAGTGTATAATTGAAAAAAAAATCAATACAATGTCAAAAAATATCATTCTAGATATGCAACAGCTTTTTAAAAATAAATATTTTTCAGAATCTTATTTTTAAAAAAGGTTATCAATTTGTTAATTCAAGGTGCAAAATTAATAATTTTGATGCAACGATTCTTGAATACAAATAGAATTTTTACAATTTGGGCAAAGAGAAAAATTGAACCTTATTGACACAATGTGAAATACTGTAGAAGTACTTTTTTCCGCGTGGTATTAATTTACGCTATGTACGCGGTCACATATTTTTCGCGGAAATTTGTCCAAGCGTACTTAATATAAATGCAAGGCATAGAGTGACAGTCTAAGAAATCCGCGTACTTTTCAACCCGCGGATTAAACGGAAGTTGAGATTCCGAGGAATTATGACCCCGTAGAAAAAAGTATGTCAACAGTAATTGTAAATGTCAAAAAAAAAAAACCTCAGAAAAGTACTTGCTCTGTTTTGGAGACAACCCATGTTGTATCTGACGCCAAACATAGACTCCATTCTTTCAACAAAACACACCTATTAAGAAGAGAATTCTAAAAAGCAGCAATGTTGCGAGTGAACACAGAACAGTCAATAAGATCATTTTATAATGATAATTTTTTATAAGACGACGTCTTGCTAACAGAAAATGTAGAAATATTGTATTCTATTGCTACTACTATTTTGTGTTTACTTTCGAATTTTAACCAATCATGATTATAGTGTTTTATGAGAAAACAAGTCAAGAAAATTCATGTATCTGATACTTTGAAAATATGAATTCTGGAATCTGATAAATTTTTAAAAATAAAAAGCTCTAAAATGAAACAAATTTGCAATTCTTGTTATATTTTTTAGATCTATACTCTTATAAAACAGCCTAAAGATGTTCTTTAAAAAAAAGTGAAAATATGTCTTTAAAATTATTTTTTACTGACCTCGTCCTCGGCGCAGTAGGTTACTGTGTGACAGTGCCGAGGTTGTACTGCGTTGTTACACTGCAGACACATCAAGGAAATCCCTAAATTCAAACTCTTATTCCAGTCATCCAGTTCTCAAGTCAATATAGCTATGTACATTGGTGTTTTGCAAAATCGATATTAGTATTACAATGTCGAAAAAATTACAATTGAGTGTTTACTTATTGACACCTAGATTTTGTAAGCTTTACAAAAAATGTCAAAAGTATAAAAAGATTTCATACCTTTGTCAAACTGAAGTAGGAGAACAAGCACGGTACATGTTATAAATTCTGTAATCATTAATACGATTGTGATGCTGACATATGTTACAATTACAGAAACTAATTTAACTGTTCTGGAAAAGAAATTTGTGTTTTTTCATCAAATAAAGTTATATAACTGCAGTCAAACAAACAGCTCGAAGGAGTAATAGTTTATCGATTGAAAAACTTTCAATTATTATTAAAATAGTGATTATGAAAACTCTGTTGGAAGACTCAGGAGTATGGCAACAGTTACATCAATTACAGGCTCTAATACAAGATTCTTTTTTTGTCCCCATTCAAGTGATTAATAGTACAGACATTCAGTCCAGGTTAAAAAGGGGCCAAATATACAAAAGTTTACAAGGTAAGAATTTTTTGCTGTATTAATAATTACAAGAGACCCATGGAACGCATTGCTCACATGAGCATTTTGGCTAAGAAAAGTAGAAATCAGGGGCCCTTTTACAAAAGAACGTACGAATAAGACCATAAGCCTTGGTTGATTATAAAAAATAATTATTCTGTTTTTAATTTTATTTAAACAAGTATTGAGTATAACTAACGTATATTAAAGTATTTAAACAATAAAACTGAATGGTATAAGGCAGCATTTTTTTTAGTCTTACTATTGCCAATGGTATATGATAAGCCATATTACTGATATCAAGGTAATTCAGGTATCTGGGCTCTTCATATGTCCGGGACACCTGACAAATTGACTGGGAACCAAAGCCCAAAGGTACTAGTATATGGAAGCATCTATAGGGTAATATGATATTGTGATCAAAATTTTACAAAGAAATTTGTAGATAAAAACCTTTTTTTTCAAAAACAGCAAATCCATGATCACATTTTATGTGGAAGTATCCACAAATAGTATAGATTCAATTCATAACCCCTCCCCTACAAACTATTAACTACTGAACTGGGGTTTGTTTTACATAAAAACTTACGACTAAGAACAAATTTTAATCCTGCATAATTTCTAATTAACATTATATTGACAGTGGTTTTAATCTTTTGAAAGGAATGTATTGAGTTAAGTTTACAAAGGCAATTTTAAACAGAAAATTTTTTTAATGCCCTTCCATTGAATTTGATCAAACTTGAAATACCTTTACCCGAGAGTACTTTGTGGCAAGTTTAATTGAAATTGACCAAGTGGTTCTTGGGAGGAAGTCGAAAATGTGAAAAGTTTAAATGTTGAAAAGTTCATATTTTATTTATTTAATATATACAAGCTAAAAAAATATTTTAAATATTGTACATGGCAGTTGCCAAATGGAAACAGACGTCAACGCATTTTTTTTTTAATTTTAATTCTTTATACCTGAAATGAGAAGAAAAATGTGTTATAGAAAACGAAAATTATGTCATTATTACGATTGCTTGATCTTTTATAAACCTTTTTTGAGAGTTTTACCAATTTTGCTGGATATTTAGTTTATTAATTGATAATTTACCTAGACAACGTCAAATTTTCAAGTCATACGTTTTGTGAAAACAGTCTTAAACGCGTATATTATTGACATAGGCTGGGGAAAAATGCATTTCATTACTGGTTTTCCATAAAGGTGTGGCTGTCTTTTGAGGGTTTTGTTTTAAGTGTTTATCCCCCTTGACAATTTAAACGCGTTAATGGACGTTGTCGGCTGACGTACTGTTCCAAACATTGCTACTGAAATTGGAATATCATATGGAAAGATGGAGAATATTTTGATATATGAGTGAAAAATACTTGAATATATTTAGAAAAGGGCAGCATTTTGTAGAATTAGTATTCGATTTGGTGAGATGCTTCTAAAACGTGACGTGACATGTCTAATTTGACGAAACTGATAGGTTCACAACTATTCATTTTCAGAAACGTGTGACCTTGAAATTGGAACGTGGTGAATTTTCCAATATTGTATGCTTTCATATCGAAAAAATTTTAGAAAGAAAGGATCAACCCTCGTATATACAAGCTATTGTAAATAGCAAAACAGGTAAGATGCAATAATTCATGATGGAGCATTAATTACGATGTTTGAAATTTGTTGCAATTTTACTATTTTAACTGAAAATTATAAAACAGGTAAGATGCAATAATTCATGAAGAGAGAAATTGTTGCAATTTTACTATTTCATCTGAAAATTATAAAACGAGAAAGGGAGAGTGAGGGGGAGAGAGTTAAATTTAACAATACTTACATTTCACTTTCTCTAAAGATTTAATAATAAATTTCAAAGAAAAAGACATAAAGGATTATAAACTTCTTCTGTTCATATTCAATTCAATAAAATTACTTATTAGAAGATTTAATTGAAGCCAAAATACTCTTCTGTCGCCCTGTATAAAAATTGATTTCTTAAAAATAATACTTTGCATGCCATAGCAGAGAATTTTTTAATCTTGCTGATCATAAGTATTTGAGTTTAAAATTACACAGAAAATCAACAAAGTGGCATATTTTTAAATCAAAATATCCCCCACTCCAAAAAATATAGTTCGGGAAATATTGCTCAAACACCATTTTTATCATGAAGAGGAAGAGCGAGGTACATGTAAATCTAGATCTATAGGCTGTTGTATTTTATGTCTTTATCAACAAGTTGCATATTATATTAAGATAAAGAACGAAGAATAATTTGAATAATGAATAATTGGGAATCTATGTAACACTAGGCTTTAATAGGTTGGAAAGTTTGCAGTGACCTTTGCTGTTTACTCATTACATTGTTACCTACATTTTACGTAAGCAGAAAAAAAATGAAGCAGTATCTACCTTTCATGATGGTTTTCGTCAGTAGTGACCGTAACATTTACTTCATTCAATAGATATAACGGTGCTTGTGAAAGTCTTATCGTGTTCCGTCCAGATATTGACTCTTGTCTGCACATATTACCGCGGTATTAGTGTCACGAATTCAAATTCTGTTGGTTACATGGAGATCACAAGTTTTTATTATTTACTTGCAATCTTAAATGCTGTTATAACTTAGTTGCAATCTTTTGTGTTTGAAAGAAATGGTTACTGGGATTAATATTTTCTTTACTCAAATTTAGGAAAAATACATGTCAATAATTTTATCTCTGAGGTTTTGAATTTTCAAGAAATACACATGCTTTCATGTAGATTTTCATAATTAAAAAACGTCCTAAAATATTAGGCCTACACTTAAGGTAAGCTATAGATCTTAATTTAGATAGATAATATGTAGAGAAATATAAATGAAGATATTAGATACATATAATCAATGTTCAATAAGTAGATTAATTAATAGGTTGGACTACAAATGCAATTTGACTTGAAAAACTTCATGAAGGGAAGGATATCAAACATTTAGCATTGCCGAATAGTTTTCATATTCATTCTAGCCTATTTGGGAGATAATATCCCAGATGGGATAATAATTTACAGTGCAAAAAAAGATAATTTGTATTTTGGCTATCGATATCCTAAATCCACATCAAGATACTTATAAAGGAAACACTTTTGGTTGACAAGTTTTTCTGTATGCCCATTGTTTAGAGGTTTGATCCCTCGGAATTTTGATTTTCTGGGGATCAATCTAACAAACTGTAGGGTTGCAGTAAAACTTGCTTGCCAAAAGTTAATCTTTTTAAAAAAGTGTTCTGTCAAAATAATAATTTTTTTTTTTTTTTTACACTGTAATCTTATATCCCATTTAGGATATACATGAACATAAACGGTATCATGTAAAAACTCCACAATCCCCATAAGAAGGTGCTAACGGTAAAATGTTGGAATATTCTCTTTCATCAGAAGATTCCGTAAATGCATAAAAAGCACAGAGAAAGTCACGATACAAGGATACCTGCAGCGGCCTCAGGTCGTGGTCATTCTCGACCTCCGGAATATCTCCAGTAGTAGTAGGAACGGTGTTAGACCGCTCGACCAGTTAGGATAGTTAAAAACTTGCCTTCGCTGGCGGCGGAATTCTTGTAGCACCACCATACAGTACACGGAGATTGAGAATAAAAGTGGGATACAGCTTTATGAACTTTAAATTTATCATTACAGATACACATTGTAGTGATATTTCAATTTGAAGTACAACGTACAATCTTTTTTTTCACAATGGATTCCTTTACTTACAACTGCAAATAACTGTAACTCTGTCTCACATCCATTCTTATGGACATAGCCAAAGGAATTCTTCAGCCATCGATGAACACGTTTTTTCTTAACTTACCTTGGAGGTAGAGCGGTCTAACGAGATGTTCCTACACTACTAGAAGACAGGTTCCAAAGGTCGAGATTTCAACTACGGATTGCATGAGACGGTAGAGAAACATATATTTTGTGGTTAAAGACGATTAGAGGTACATTGTATATGGACAATACTAATGTGATAAAATCTTTTGGTGGGTTAAGTTTTTTCCCTACTTATTGTTCTTTTTAAAAATTTAAACAATTGATCAATCGATTGATTCTTTGTTGTTTCACTTCCTATGCGAGAATTTTTCACTCATGTGAGACGTCACTACATGCCGGTGAATACTTCTAAATTAAGAAATTTACTAAACACTCAGAAACATTGGAAAAGGTGGGGTTTTTTGGCCGTGTTTATGCCTACCATAAATGAGACTTTGAATTTAAATGTTTCACCCGAAAGAGGGATGACTTTCATTTATAAAGCACAATTATTGTTTAAGCTTTCTTTTACGGTCATATAAGGTTTAAAAATAGATTTTACCTTGATCGGAGAGTGAGTGTTTCAGTCTTAAAACAAGACTGCAACAGGGCAGCATCCCCCTAGAGTATAGTATCTCTCCAGAGCAATTTCTTTACGGGGCAAGAAACATAAAAGTGAGTCTCTCCCGGTCCCACGTGTTGACTTCCTCTCTTTTGATACTGTGACTCTGTAGGAGAAGGATGACTCTAGGTCGACATGTCCCCGCCCCCTTTGGGAACCTTGCTTACCCTATAGCAAGCCCTCTAAGGGAAATTATACTCTTGATATTCAAAACTGCTACATCGCAGATTTCTAAGTCCTTGTACTTGATCAAATGACCTCTCTGTCCCAACCCTATTTGAAACTTCTTGACTTCTTGTTTTACTTTTCGAAGACTTTTTTAAAATGCATTCTTTGTGAAAATTTATAGGGAAAATGCTCAGTCATCGACAATTATATGTAGCAAATATTATAACGATTATCCATGACAGATGTAGATTCTGAACGACTATGGTCAGTGAATATGAATGTTTGACCCGCCTCTCCCTCCAGTATGTTGGATCTTAAAAAAATGAATTGTGTAATATATATACTGGAAAAGTTCAGCATACAGATATGTGGTGGGAATAGTCCTCTCTATAATCATTTTGTGTATTACAAAGTATATTGGATCTTGTGTCTCTGCTTATAAGTCTGTAAGGATGCCTTGGATTGTCGTTCGTTGCATAGAGCTTTTTAGGGGTTCTGTTTTTTATTAGAAATATCTAGATGATTTTTAGATGTGTTTGCTCTATTTTATTTTTAAAGGTCCTTATTTAAGATTATAACGATGAATTTTCAATTAGTTTTAGAAGAAATATATGCAAATTAATTATATTTTTTTATTAATGAAAATGAAAAAATAAAACAAAGAAATGTTCAGAATAATTTGAAGAATTCTGTTCGAAATTCCCTCCAAACTACACTTATTTCAGTGCTAAATAAAAAATAAAATATGTAATATACAAAAAATTAACCTCAGACATTTAGTCGGCATGTGTTATTTTATCTTTTAAGAATAGCCTATACATTGTGCCCTCCGTTTCAATAGATAAATTAGTAATATACCAGTATATCATGCGGTAATCTATCATTTTTTAAAACCCTGCTTTCATGATTGTCACGTGATACTGCAGGGCCTACGTGATGAAATTCATTCATTGAAATTGTGAATTGACTTTGTTCCTTTTAAATAATTAATAAGTTTGAAAATACAAATTATTGATTATTCGAAAAAATTTGATCAAAACAACTTCCATCGGAGCTGCATGTTTTTGATAATATCATTTACATTGAAAAAATGAAATCTGAATTAGCCTTTTCTAAAATATAGGCAATTGTGAATAAAGAGGTGCGAGAGATACTTAGTGCAGTTTCAAATGTTAACTGTATAGCACTTTAATTAGACGAGTAAAATACAACGCAAAACATACTCTGACGTTGTGATGAGTCACTATAGGCAAATCAATGAAACTGAACAATCCTTAGCACACGTATTACGTAATGACTTTTTTTTATTTTAAAGAAATGCAATGAAAGCAAGAATTATTTCTCTCTGAATAGGTTGGGTATGTATGTAAAGCAATTTTTATATGTGGATCTACGTGACTTTTCAAATATATATTTGTTTTTTTTTTTTATTTTTTAACATTTTGAAAGATATTTCAAATGATACGGTGTACTTTAAATTACGCTGCAGGTATTTTTATTTGTAAGTTTGTTTGTTGTACGACATAAATGTATATGTATCTTCTTGTATGAACTTATATTTTCCCATTTCATTTTAATTTCCGTAGTGGGGAGATGAGAGATTTTTGTATTATAACGCACCGGGAAGTATGCTGACATAAATTTGTCCGGATTTTGAGGAAAGAAGTGGAGATAAATTTTTTTCACTTCATAAAAGGGCGTTTAGTTTATTTTTATGTCCTTGGAAATTTGTTGATTCATCCACCATTACCATTTGAGGACAACTCTCTCTTCAGGGGTGAGTATCATTTTAATTTGTGTTATCACTATTTTAAGATTATTTATATGTGTTCTAAAACCATATTAGTCTGTCTGTCTGTCCCATGTGTTTTTCTAGACATGTGAGCTGATATTGGTTTTTGAATCTGTCTTGATGAGTTACAGATGGATTCTGTGTTTTATTCTGCTTTGATGATTTTTGATAGATGAATTAAGGTCAATGCCGACAGGAGGCTATTCAAATTAATGTTATCTTGAAAAAATAAATCTTCCATTACTCCGGATAGTAAACCATCAAACTGTTGGACATGATTATAATAATCAATGAGCCATTTTACCAAACCTGTGAATTTTATGGCTCCAGGGTTCATGACTTAAACTACAGGATGGAGCTAAGTTTTTTAAAACCTTCCTCTTAGCTCATCTTTCGAGGAAGCCTAATAGAAAGGCATTTGCACTTGGTTGGGTGGTCCGAGTTCGATTCTCGTTCCCGGCACCATGTTAAGCCCAAGACGTAAAATATACATGTACATGTTTGTAAGGACTGTGTTCTTCCCAAAAGCGTAAGAAGTGTAAGTTCGTGTCTATCCTGAAATGACCCTAAAACCTTAGTTCGTGTGCCACGTTAGCGATTGGTACAATACAAAAGCTCTCACACTCAATGACCCTGTTAAGCAGTGAGTTTAATATGTAAAACTCTAAACTTGAAGTTTTTCTCTCATACATGTATTTGATGAAAGAGTAAAAGAATATATACGGTTTATAATATCTACATTTTTTAAGGTCTTCTTCTCCACTCATGAACATTGAATAGGCAAAATGTTTGAATGATTTTAAAAAAAACTATTCCCTCCACCAATTTTGAGAAAATTCCTCACCCTACAACTCTAAATTCTCGAAATAAAATAATGAAGAAATCCAATTTAACAAATCCAAAAAAATCATTCATATAACTTTGAAAACGTGATTATAAATTATGCTAGATAACCATTTTTGATATCCTTTTTGTTAATTAGGTGCATAAACATTTGAATTAAACAACAATTATTTGTACAAAAAATAATTTAGCATTAACATCTTTGTATTTTAAACTTAATTTGTTTTGCAAATGAGAAAAACTCAATATGGAAAATCTGTTTCTGAATAAACGCTAAAGAAGGAAATGTTTGCTCACAAGAAAAAAAAATTCGTTGGCAAAGTCTGTTTAGATGAGCACATTTTAAGTAGCCAAATTACGGTTATATTGAGGCCTTTCTTGTTTTGAATAACTCTTGATGTTTTAATGAAGCCAGAAAAATAATTTCTGTAATGATTATTTTTTCGGAGTATTTTTTTTAGTTTAGTATAGAAATAGGCCATATACTCTTCAATGACAAGAAACAGCTTGCAATAAGAAAAGCAAAGTTAAACTGAATATAATAAATATTCCATATATTTAAAAACAAATACAGAAAAATGTGACAGTTATGAAACTGTTTTTCTTTCATTATTTTAAACTTCTCGATACTTATAACTGATCAGCACTTCAGTCATACAAAGCTTGATATAAGAAAATATTATATTGCCTATTTATTTTTCTAATACCCAAAATATGTTACAGTTTAGTGCAAAAAGGTCACATAATTATTTCATTAATTTGGATTTGATCAATGATAAATTTATTCAAACTATTTTACGTAAAGTAAGAATAAATTTATTGCCATGGTTACAGCTGAAAAAATATAATAAGAGATAATTGTATAAAAGTAATAAACTAAGGGGTTAAAATTTAAGTGCAAATAGGTCAACTTAAATGCAAAGATGCACACTGACCCCCTATTTTTTGCGATTTTGAGTCACACTTTATAAACAATCCAAAATATAGTCAAAAAATCCTTGATATAAGAAATTTGAGGAGTGACTTACCTTAATAGTAGGAGATTTATCAAGAAATTCATGCCCTAAATTTAAGTCTTTTTCATTATTGATTGTTGCAAAACTCAGGAGAAGATATTAAGGATCTCGAAATTAACAATGCATGTGTGAATTCCAGGAATCATAAATAATAAAAACAAAAATTGATTACTTTTTAAATCAAATATTTGCTGATTTGGTTCATTAATAGTCTTCGGTCAGGAGTATATAAAAATAAACCCTATTTCCATTGCTATTATGCTGTCTTTTCTCGAGAAATCTTTTCTTCCTTGTGTCAAAATTGACAAATAATTTTGCTTGTAAGCATTCTAGGCAGGGTATCTCTTGATTATACAAAATTTAGTAATAAGTGAGCACTATTCCTTCACTACTTCCTTCTTCCTGCGATATACTAAGCTGAGTAGGGACTGTTATTCCACCAGTAGTAGCCTCCCAAAGCTGTGTTTTAAAGATTTGCAGTAGACGAACGAAAACATGCATGTATTTCAAAAAGTCAATATATAATCATTCTGGTCAGGATAAGCAATTATTTAGTGTTTAATGGAATAAATGGAGATAGCGAATATTTTGTCCAAGCTCTAAAGTACATTAAACAATGCAAAATTAAAGCAGAGCAAAAACACAGACCTTTAAAACATCAGAGTCGGGACCACGTGCCAGAAGGAGTAGGCGTCCCCTGCCTACCGGTCACAATCGCCATGTGCTCCTTGTCAAGATCGGGAATAAACGGGGAAATTCGTAGACAATTCAGTGAATTAATAATGACCTAACCAATTATATAAAAACGTCAATCAGTATTTAACTTAATGAATGATAAATTGCATTTGCTAACAAGGTCATTGTATCGATCATATAAATAACAAAATAATGCATTTAAACGAGACTAAATATTCTTGTTTCATCAAATTGTTTGTCAATAACTTACCTCGTTTTGGAAAGTGTTCATAAGTTGAGAATGATTTTGTGTAGCGAATCAACTGAGCGAGATAAACAAACAAAGAAGAAATTAACTCACGGACATCTCGGAGGCAAATTTTATTACCTGCGTAATTGCAATAAGCAAACAAAACCTCTACAAAATCGTTTAATTCATCTCCCAAGGGCCCAGGAGTCAAATCCTAGGAGTGTACTAAATTGACCATATATTGATAACATATGTTTTCTTTCTGAAGCTTCTAGGAGTCATACTGCCATCAAAGTAAAAACTAAATTTGTTATGTCTCCAATTTGATTTTCTTAAATTCAAAAAGTTAAAGTAGTGAAACAGACTTATGTTGAAGCAGAATATTTCTTTTAAAATACATTTTTTGGTTTTGTTTATTAGGTCTAGATGAATCTTTTACAAATAATACAATAAATTGTACACTTATTTTGATTTATCAACAAATCCTGACTTATCTTGATTTAGAAGTAAGTCAAAATATGTGTACCCTTTTTTATTGGTATTGTGTATGTTTTCTCTGAAAATCTCTTCATTGTGTTTCATTCGCTAAAACTTCCTTATAACCATTTCAGAAAATCACGTTATCATACAATTTATGGTGCTTAATGAAATGGGCGTTTTTGTGAATATATATATAGCCCTATCTGATTCCTGCGAGATACTACCTAAGTAGGGAGTGTTATAGTGTCTTTGGAGGGAAGTAATATATATTTATCTTAGGTTTGCATTGAGCGGACAAAGATATATAATAGGTATAAAAAAAGGAAATTATTTTTCAAATTAATTTCTGGTAATAAAGAAGTATGTATTGATTTCCTTAACAAAGGTGATAAAAAGAGACTCCCTTAGGCTCACTACTATAATGCAAGTTAAGCTGCTTTAAAATTGAGGATTGTTCGAACTGTGCTTCACATTTCTGATATCAGATCTGAACGCTGCTTCTCTTTTACATGTATACTTTTCTGCAATGCTCTCTCGCGAAATCAAAGTTTTTCTCACCCTTAGTCCTTGCTAAACCCTTTTTAATAATTTCTTAACGTTTAAAACACCCTTATTTCAATTCAATTTTATCAGGACTGTCATTTTACATGAAAAGAAGTATCGTATTTTATAAAGATACGTATGGCACGCCAAATTCACAAAAATGAGATAAACCTAGTTTCACATTTGATAAACTAGGTTTATCGACTGTAAACTATAGTTTACAAACCGTAAACTATAGTTAACGATTCGTTAAATATAGTTAACGATTCGTTAAGTATAGTTTTCATCTGTAAAACTATATCTAACGGTTGTTAACTATAGTTTACGAATGATAATCTAAGTTTATATGTCTGTAATATGCGTTAACAATAGATTTTGTTGATAAACATAGATTCACGTTTGTAAACTATAGTTTACAATCGTAAACTATAGTTAAGAGTTGTTAATCATAGTTTCACAAATTGTGAAACTATATTTATCAGATCGTTAACATAGTTAACGGTTTGTAAACTATCGTTTACAAATCGTGAAACTGTATTTATCAGATAATATATGTTTTGCAATCGCAAATGATTGTTTTCGGTGTTAAGTATAGTTTACGGTTGTGAAACATAGATTATCGCGTTAACTATGGTTTACAGATGTGAAATATAGATTAACGTTGTTAACTATAGTTTACGGTTTGTAAACTATAGTTTACAATCGATAAACCTAGTTTATCAATTGTGAAACTATGATTATCTCATTTTTGTGAATTTGGCGTGCCATAGATACGGATTGCAAGACAAAAAACTAACAACTTAACTACATGTTGCCGGGTCTCTTCTCGTGTAACCTTGAAAAGACATGCACCTAGGATGTGCATTAGAGCAGTGATTTATTTACCTGGTTATCAATTAACTTAAAAATATCTGAGAGATGAGAAATATTCCTTTACATTTTGGAAATAAAAATATTTTAAACTAAATTTATAAAGGTAAAGGAATCTAGGGCTCAGAAAAAAGTCTTTATGAGAAATTGCGTAAGAGTGTCGGTTTTCGTCTGACTGAATTCTTTCTTTTCCTTCGATGTTTACACATTCTTTAAAGATCTCACTAATTCTTGAATCTTCCAAAAATATTTACTCAAGTTAAATAATAAATATAAATAATATTTTGAAAATGCTCTGTTCATAATCACTGTTTGTCAAGTACATGTGTCTGGATATTTTTTTAATTTCATACAGATTAGTTAAGACGAAGAAATGCATTTTGATCTGTAAAGTTCATTCACTACCTTGCCAAACTGGCTCATGCAAGTAAGAAAGGATATTGGGTGCTTGCAAAACTTTCATTTCTGTATGTACATGTATTGACCCCCCTTTCTCAAACATAAATAATTTTAAAGATTCATTGGTGTATTTGGATTTGTATGGTGTGGATAGGGGGAACCCTCCTCCCAGAGAATGTGATGCATGTTCAAGAAAGTCGATTTATAAAAGCATTTTTTTCTAAAAAAAAAGAAAGAAAAAAGTAATAACATGAGTATGAAGAGTTCAGCACCTCTGCTGATTATCGCCATGCTTCCTCAGCATTGATTTATTGGAAGACGATGTTATAATGATTCAACAATTTTTTCAAGAAAATATACACTGATCAAACAACTTTTCTCAAAGCTGTTTCCATCATTTACCCTCAGGGAGATACTGGTTTAGTTAAAAAAAGATAGAGCACATAATTCAAGCATATAAACCTTGTGTGTAGGTGACTTTGAGAAGGTCAAATGATGCCAAAATCGATTGCATGTCTCTTCTCAGAATCTGAAGCACGTGCTTTTAGGTTGATAGTGGAGGCGCTTTTAAAGAACAGTGCTTCAATAATCGCTTTAAATTTATAATATTTTACCTCTTTGGGTTGAAAAAAATGTAGGATAGATGGTTGAAAATAGTATTCATTAGGCGTATAATGCCATAGGATTTTCTCTTCGATCGATTGATGCAATAGTGCCATCATTTTCTTTAGACCGCAATGAACTCTTTCTGTTTCAGACATAACTGATGTAATGGTAGGATGAAGGGCTGAATATGGAACAACAGATTTATGAAATAAATTTGTGATTAAGTTGAACAAAAATTAACCTTTACTTTCGAGGTGGACAAGTCGCGTGATTTTGAAGAACGATCATGTCTCTAGGAAAAAGTGAAATTATAAGATGTCTAAGGATCCTTATTATGTGGAGGACAGTTTTCATAGCATTTTTGCTGCCACTGTTTTTGTTACCAATAGCATTGTCAGACAGTAAGGTAAGTGTACTTTATTTCAGCATTAGAAGTTTCTCCCTTTTTTATTGATCAATATTTTTCAAAGGATAAACTTTACTGATAACAAGGTAAGTAAAAAGATGAAAATCATAATATTGCTGTGGTTCTTAATGTCATTAAGCCTGTCTCGGATAGATTTAAAGTCGTATTGTCATATTTTAAAAATGTAATAGATCGGTTTCTTGCCTTACTTATTAACAAATCTTAATCCTTTTACATCAACGCTTTGCTGTTTTGCACCTGGAAGTCAATCTAAATAAACATATGCAAGTTTTGGCACTAGTGTCGGACACAGCTTGTAAATCAATTGTTCCTAAGCAAAACATATCTCCAAAATCTTATAATTAAAAAGATATTAGTTAAAATTTCTCTTATCTTTTTTGTATTGAGTGTTATGTGTAAATAAAAAATCAAAATAAAGTTCTTGACAGCATTAAGTCATTTAAATATATAAAGATATATATAATCTAAACGATACTAGCTTCCTTATTGAACATCATCAACCTAATTTAATAAAATGTAAAGCATGATTGTTATAAAGTAAATCTATGTCAGTAATGAAGTGCCGACTGTGGTTTCCCCCTACAATTTTTACGTTGTAAGATATAGGCTGCAGGAAGTTTAGCTCTTTGTGGGTTGTTTTTATGTTCACTTTCCTACATGGTTTCTTTATTAACAATAAAATATTTGCGGTAAATTGGAAGCTTCCGCACCTCTAAATAAAGAGGACAACGCTTTATTTAGGTAGATAAAGCTATACAACTTTACTGTTAGTCTGAATAGTTTTTATAATGATTAATTAACTAAAGATACTAGATCTAGAAGAAGTATATTATAAATTTGTACATTTGAAGATACTGATATGCATGTACATACATATATTCATTATTTAGATAAATTTGCAGGAAAGTATACCCCTCTTTATGAATTATTAATTAAAGTTTTTATCTAAAAACAACATGAACAGCGTAAGCTTTTAATTGCATCAGGTGATATAAAAACTTGTTTGATATGATAAAGACTATACATGTAGTCTGTTTTCATTCAAGTTCATCTATTCCAATATTCTGTGTAAATGAAAAATGTTCATACACATGCATTCCCCTTTCCAAGCACATACAGCTTTTGAATATGCGAGGATCAGACAGATCATGGTTTCACTTTTGTCTGGTTATTGTTTAAGACAATTACATATAGCAAGGAAAAGAGATGCGGTCAAGCTAAGTTCAGTAAGATTATTGTGAAACATATAACAATGGAATCACCCATTTTCACCATAGGTTCGAGCGAAGGCAGACGTAAAATTTTGTCAATACTTCAAGTTATCGTCTGCATTTGTGCATTTGTGTATGTTTCACTCGTGATTAACAGAGGATAAAGTTGAATTAAGGCAACACGTGTAAACAAATAAAACACCCTTTTATCCATTTAGTAGAAACCACTCGATCCCGTCTCTGTTGATATTTTGAAAACGTGTATTCCTGTATTGCATCACGTAGTCAGTGAACATTTCAAATAATGTCAAATAATCAATTGTCTCATAAGTATTTAAAAATTTATCGAATGTTTTGTACTTAAAAGAACTTTTCCTACCTTCGCATCCCACATTTAAATTCCTTTACACATAAATTATTTAGAACTGTTATTAAGGAGTGACTTGAGACTTGTACTGCAAAGGAGTGCATATGTGATAGATTTTTTTTAATTAGTAGGACGTATGCTATGCAGACACAAATTAATCAATGTGTTTCGCAATGTTTCCCTAACGTTTACTGAAACCCAGCTGATCTTTAATAAAATTGGTGCACAGCAGGAGAAGAAAAGAATAAACGTAATACTACGTATAAATGATTAAAGAATTTATTTCAAATGAATATAGTGGGATTAGTAGTAACATTAACAAGTGTAATGAAATTATTGCATTCTTGATATTGGTTACTAGTATCTGCAAAATCATTTGTTAAAAAACATTCTGATTGCACACACACAGAACTCTAAAGTTGATATGAAAAAGATGGTTGAATTTCCGATTAAGGATATCTATTTAGTATTTGGAAATCTCAGGTCTTCCAACAATCTTTTGGAATTACCAATAGCAGACTGATGTTTTTGTACTCATGTGAAGCAGAATTTATTCTAAATTTTATACATGAGAAATAGAAAACGTATGCTCGACAATTGAATATATCAACGACCTATTATCAATGAATAATAGTTATTTCTATTCCTATGTGGACACGATATATCCCACTGATCTTGAAATTAAAGAAACCACAGTGTCTGACACATCATCTGGATCATATTTGGATACGTTACTAGAGAAGACGTTAATGGTAATTAACCTCACAACGACTCTTTATGATAAATGTGATGACTTTTCAATCGCCAATCGTTACATAAGCAGCAATATGTCATTATCACCCGCATACAGGTTTTAACTCTCAGTTGATTCGATACTCAAAAGCATGCTCTACTTATGAACAATTTTTAAAATGAAATGAATCATTGACAAGAAAGTTGGATGAAACAGAATATCAACTCTTTTAATTAAAGTCACTATTCTGCAGGTTCTATGGTCGATACAATGAGATAATCAATGATGACTTATTTTTACATTAGTTGTTAGGCAATTATTTACACTCTGAATTGTAGATAGATTTTTCCGTTATTTCCCGATCATGTCAAGGAGCACACGGTGGTTGTGAAGTCGGCAGGCGATGCTCACCCCTCCATGGCACCTGATCCCACCTCTTATATGTTTAGTTGCCCGTGTTTGCTCTGTTCATGATTTATACTGTTTGAATGGACTTTTGAGCTTGAAGACTGTAGGCTAGTTTTTTTTACATATATATTTCATGTAATTCATAGCAATAAGATTTCTCCAGCCATGACATTACAAGAGCAACTAAACTGAATCTTTAAAAGAAGAAAATGCCTCATCTCTGAGCAGTAGATATTAAATTCATTATTTTTAAAATGTTACAAAGAAATACCAATATCTGGGACCCTCTACATCTTTCAAAATACCAAAGTGTCATTTCTATGTTTAAAAAAAAAACAGCATTTATGGGAAAATATATATTTTTGCAATATTGAAGCATTTTTGAGAGAGTAATCTCCTACCACACACTTTTAAGGGGTATATTTAGAAAAAAATCTAAAATTTAAAAAAAAAAAAAAGCTGCACTTTCTTAGAACCTACTTCGTTCCTATCAAGCAATAAAATACATAATTACCAGCCAATTAACTGCAAGACGTTCTTACCGTGAGCCAGGAATTTATACCAATATGCAAATTTTTACAACAAATAAAATTGAGGTAAGAACTCGTTTAAATTCGTTTCATATGCGCAAAAGATACAAATAAAGAGGCATTAGCTAAATTATGAGTATGATTGATGAAAACTCTCCAAGATAAAATATTTGATTTCGATTTCAATAGACAAGGGAAAGTGAGAAAACCCTGAATAAACTTGAGATATCAAAGGCATGATAATTGATCAGAACCAATGTCACAACTAAGTTCTTTCTGAGTTGTCACCATTATCAGAGCTACCAGAGGGTATTCTTAAAAAATTTCTCACTTTCAGAAAGCATCAATTAAAATATCAATGATATAGGAGCTCTTAATGTAATAATAAATATGGCGGTGTCCAAGTTTTCGTACTGGAAACATCAGCTTCTATCTGATCGAAATAATAGCTCTTTTGAATAAAAATTCCGTGAAAACGTTAATAAATTTGATTCATTGCGGGTACATAAGACTTGGTACCCCCAAGTGTAGCAGAGATAGGCCTACGAATAAATTTGGATGTATTCGCTTTAACAAAAGAATTGACCTGTAGGGGAGAATAATTTCCCGGAAAAAGTGACATTTAAAAATCAATCTTTATTTGTTGTTTTCTACCGTACATATGTCTAAATTTTTTGAAATTTGTATTTTATACCTAAAATTTATTATTTACAACTTTACAAGAAACCTCCAAAGTTGATCGAAACACCATTTTGTCCTTTAAAGCGTTGATTTTTGCATGAATTTTGGCCTTGAAGTCCATCAGGGCAGGCCTGCCCCTAAATAAAATTGTGATATTTTGATAGGTTAGGATGTAAGGAATAATTTAAGATAAGATTTTTTTAGGGGCACCCTTGCCCTTGGGTCGAAATTCACAAAAAACCTACAAAAAATATCGAAACCAGATTTTCATAATCTGCTTTAAATTTATGCCATTCATTCTTATAGTCAGACTAGCTCAGTTAATATATACGCTGTCTTTTATACTTTGGATACTCTCTTTTTAAAGTCGGGGGGTTCGAATCCACCTGGTACAACACTTATATGGCCGGTTGCGTATCTATGGTTCAGATAAGTACAGCTCAGTGGTTGATCCGTGGATCACGTAAGCCGGGTTTAAACCCCATTTGAGTAGGGATTACCTGAGTCGCATTTCTGTTGCAAGCTATAAAACTGAGTAAAGTTTACCTAATCTTGACTTATTCACATAAAATGTTGAAGGATAATAGGTTTCCTAATATTGTCGCATATCTGCGGTGATTTTCATTGATCTTTCTGTGGTGATACATCCCATATCACATATGCGATAATACTTTCCACGCCCCTTTATATATCACTGCAGGAGGCAGAAATCAGGTCATGAGCAAAAAAAACTTATTTTATTTCACAAGTTCAAAACTACAGAAAAATGAACATGTTTAGCTATTTCTTAACCTTAACTAAATTAAAATACCCGGTACATGTATTTAACTCAGTTGAAAGTTCCCAGTCGCTCAAAAGATCAATCCATTTTGAAAGTTACGGTAAAATATCCAAACTTTATAGAGTTCAACTCCTTGATACTTGTTTATGTGATTTCATATTTGTCGAGAGCCTGGCTAAAATGTAAATCATCAAAATCTTCCCACCCAGTTAAAAAGTCAAAGTCGAATTCACTAAAAACTCCCGACATATTGGAGAGCTAGCTTGAA